CAAACTCGCCGGAAAAAAATGAGTCTTGGTCAAGATCTGACACAGGATTTTGCTGGATTTTGATGGATTTTGATGGTTCATGATGGCCATAGAAAAGGGAACGAAAAACCGATGCCATGTTTGGAAGATTCCAAGTTTTTCATCTGAGCCGTGAGGGTCATACCCTTATCCCATCCGATTACACCGGTTGGTCAATGGGTACATTCCTAGCAGGGTCGTTTTCACACACCACGGAAAAAATCAACCAACAGTTATGCGGTAATTCAACATAGCTATTGAACATGGCACATTTATAGTTGACTTAATTTACCTATCAAAAGTTACGGTTTTTCTATCATTAGCTATGTTTTACCAGAGGTTAGGTGTCTGTTTTGATGTCTCACCTGTGCGCCCCCCCAATCTGACCACGTCCAGACGCCCGGGCTTTTTTCGGCCGAGGGGCCGGCGCAGCGAGAAATGGTTTCACTGGGGGGTGATGCGCCTAAAAATCCAGGGTCAGGATCGTTGAGTCACCATGTGTTGGGGCTGGGATTACACCCAACATGTGATCAAAAAAAAAAGTAGCCCATGAGTATTAATCGGATAGGCTATATATCATCTATTCTATCATTCTTTATCTTCGTCATTTTTACAACTAGTTCATTCAGTTTTTACTTGGTGATACCCATGTCCTATCATTTTTAGCTTGAACTCATAGTTTTTTATATTGGTAAGTAACATTCAGTAACACCCACATCCTCCGCACCCATTGGGTCGCAGCTCACCCATCCAGTTCAAGGTCTAGAAATTCCCTCAGCGAACGCGTCGCCAGAAATTTCTTGGCCCGGGCCCCGCATCTTGTCGCAGGGGCCGCGGGCGCAGGCGGTCAGGCAATGCAACTTGCAGGGGAGGCCTGAAGCATGACCGGAAGGGAGTCCTATGCCAACATCCCAGCAGAAACACCTGGTTGTCTTTGAACATTCTTCAATCCAGGTCTGACTTTGTGTACCCTAAACATCATGATGGATGCAACTGTTGCCACAAAACATGTCATTTACCCTCTGGTAAACTAACATAACTATGGAAAATACCAATTTTAAATGGGAAAATCCACTATTTCAATGGCCATTCTCAATATATAGCTATGTTACATTACCAGAGGGTAAACATATTGAAACTGTCATACTGGAAAGGACCAAAATCTGTGGTCCCAGCCATGGCACCTGCGTCACCCTGGAGCGCTTCACTCTGCTTGTGGTTCACTCAACGCCACTGTGGTCAGCCTGCAGCGATGCACCCTCGTCTGCACATGGAAATAGCTGGTTGTAGATGTTCATCCCCAAAATATGCATAAATATACCCTCTGGTTATTTGTTACATAGCCATGGAAAATCACCATGTTCAATAGGTAAACCATCGAACTAAATGGGCCATCGAAAAACCATGGCGAACTGTTAGTCATAACCAGGTTGGGTATATACATATGGTAGGCCAGGTTTCCATCCAACCCCCGCATGACCCTTAGCCATCTGGAAAGCGGCAAACCACCAGCACCTCCACCATCCCATTTTCTTCTGGGTACTGTTCCCCCAAAAAATGGATGGTGAATCATTTTTATGTCCTTTTGGTAAAAATAGAGGGGCCAGTTTGGTTTCTTCAAACCCCTCTTTTTTCATCAACCAATGGGAATTTGGGACATCTATGTGGTTCATATTGGTTGATTGATTAAGACTAAAACCATAGGAAAATGATAAAAAATGGATGGTTCATATTGGTGAATACGAAAAAATCGACAAGTTAATCTGTGGTTTTCTGAGTCCCCCAGCAGCTGCTCCAGATTCTCATCGTCCAGATAGCCCTGCGCTGCTAACGGCCTTGGGCGAGCGCGGACAATGGACCACCCGCCCCCAAAGACCCGATTTTGTACATACTTGAAGAGTTCTGGGCAAAAAATACTGTCCAAATCTCATTTGAAACATTTCTAAACCATAATAACTGACGTTTTCCCATGGTTTTTCACCCCACAAATTCACCCCAGCATCGGTGCCCAAACCTCCAGCCCCACCCCAGCACCACCATCCCAGTCCAAGCAACGGAACGCCCGGAAGGCCCCAGGCAATGAGGGTCGGAAATGCCTCCAGCGAGGTGACTGGCTGTGAGTGTCCCAATTAAAAAAAAAACATCGGACAAACCATTTAAAATGACCATTAAGGAGAGTATACACCAGTTTCTTAATTGTCATTTGTCAAAATATTCGAAATTGAATGGCCATTTAAGGAGGGTATACACCAGTTTTGTCTTTAATTGTCATTTATAAAATGGTTCAGAATTAAATCACCATTTCAGCAGGTTCTGCACCATTTTCATAAAAACACCCATATAGTCTTGGATGGTTTTGATTTATTTTTGGTTGCTCCTCATTTCAAAAAATGCGTTGAAACCCCTGCAAAATGAAAAGTAAAATGTGTGATGATGTTTCATCTACATATAAGACACTTTACAGTTTCATCTTCTCCAAAAAGTGGCACGTAGCTTTCGGTGGCAGCATTACAACCCCTGGTCTAGATCGTCACATACAATGTGCTGCTGCCTTCCGGGGCATATGCTTTTTGAGCCAAGCAAGAAACGTTTGCCGAACGCATCGTCGGTCAAGCACATTGCACTTGCTAGAAGTTGGATCTTCCCTTGTTCCGCCAACAGTGACAGCCGTTCTTCCAGCCGATGGGAGCTGTAGGAAACAATCCGAGGTGACCGGGCAACCAGTGCAGCAGTCTGCCTGGCTGTGAAGAATTTGCGCAAGAACACTATCTTCTGCGTCAAGTTGTTTTTCACGCTCAATCCCAGAAATATTGGGAAATCAGCCACTACTTTGGCAACCTCACCTCTACTTAGACCCAGGCCCAGCAACCAAACGACTGTTGGTTTCAAGTTTTGCTCAATGCTGTAGCCAAGGATTGGAGGAGAAATCGCAACAGCCTTTGCAACTTGCTTCTTGTCCAGTCCTAAATCAAGCAGCCACTGCACTGTCGGCTTCAAGTTTTGCTGAATGCTGTAGCCAAGGATTGGAGGACAAATCGCAACAGCCTTTGCAACTTGCTTCTTGTCCAGTCCTAAATCAAGCAGCCACTGCACTGTCGGCTTCAAGTTTTGCTGAATGCTGTAGCCAAGGATTGGAGGACAAATCGCAACAGCCTTTGCAACTTGCTTCTTGTCCAGTCCTAAATCAAGCAGCCACTGCACTGTCGGCTTCAAGTTTTGCTGAATGCTGTAGCCAAGGATTGGAGGACAAATCGCAACAGCCTTTGCAACTTGCTTCTTGTCCAGTCCTAAATCAAGCAGCCACTGCACTGTCGGCTTCAAGTTTTGCTGAATGCTGTAGCCAAGGATTGGAGGACAAATCGCAACAGCCTTTGCAACTTGCTTCTTGTTCAGCCCTAAATCAAGCAGCCACTGCACTGTCAGATTCAGGTTTTGCTCAATGCTGAGGCCAAGGATTGGAGGAAAAAACGCAACAACCTTTGCAACTTGCCTCTTGTTCAGCTCAAAACCCTGAAGCCATTCCAGCACTGGCTGCAAGACTCTTTTAATGGAAGGCCCTCTTACCAGCGCCCGTTTTTGCAGCATCTGAATATCACTGTGTCTGAACCCCTGTGCTTCCAAAAAGACGGAAATTTCCTTTGCTGTGCTGCCACGTCCTCTAATCACAGCTCCTTCCCAAAACTGTTGAGCGGATCTTGATATCACCATGTGCTCCTTCTGTACTTGTTTCTGCAAGTGGGTTTTGACATCAGGGTGCAAGACGCGTCTTAGTCGTGGCAGCATCTGCTTCAACAAAGCCTTCAAAGTCGTGGCAAGCGACTTGTGATCACCTTGACGCCAAGCATCTACACCTATGCACAAGACATGTCCATCCAATTTGCTGCCGCTTTTGTGGCTGATGCGGACCACGAAGGAACCGCATGGCGCAAATGCCAGCAACGTTGAGGTCTTTAGCTGATCCCTCACCATGCCCTCCTTTTCCGCATGACGCCAATACCCGTCATACTCCACAAACAGAGCTGCTGCCTCATCTTTCAGCACACCATGAGCCGTCAGATCTGGTTCCAAGTAGTTCCCACCCCATCCTGGCGGTGATTTGAAGCTTCGAAACAGCTCTCCAACTGGCGTAGCCGGCATCAACAGTTCCCCCAACGGTGCCAACAGCTCCGCTTCCGCCACGCTGTCAGCGCGTTTCCGCGGCCACCCTTCCTGCCACCACAATGGTGGCTGTTTGGTTCTCGGCGCCAAACGGCTGAAACGCCTCTGCACTCCCCAAAGGCACCGCATATCTACGTTGAAATCCAAGGCCACTGCTTGAGCACAGCTGGCCAGCTCGGGACTTCCATACCCTTTTGAAGGTGAGCATATCAGTAGTTATATCAATGATATATCTATGCAGACAAATCCAATATCTCAACACGGGGGCCCGGTTTTGAAGAAGTTTCCACTTTAGATCTCAGACTCTCAGACGTGATTTGTGCTATTTCGCCACAAACCATCCATCCACTCTTCTCATTAAGCAGTGAAACTCAATTCCAAGAGAAAATCCGTAGGGCCAAGCATTCTCACTCATTCTCAACATCTTCCACCCCCAAACACGTCTAAGTACACCCCTTGCCGCCTCCACATTGAACGCCTGTGCCGCGGAAGGAAACTCCTCAGCCTCGGTGGCAACAAGCGCCAGAGCAGGGGGCCTCCATGGTTTCACGCAAATTTACAGTGCAAGATGTGTATTTCACTGCAAATCTGCAACTATGGTATGTCTCTTCAAGTCTTTTCAAATCTTGGAATCATACGTTGTTCAAGTTGAATATGTGATACTATTTGAGTCTAAACTAAACCAATCAATTTCAGCTTCTGGATCTTGACTTCGAATCTAGCCATCCCCGTCATTCTTTTGTCCAGGCCATCACACGTAGAGGATGAAGACGCGCAGCGGCGCGGACACCAACGAAGCTCCCAAAGGTGGTCGGGCCTGGCATTCAGCACTCCCAAGCTGCATATTAAGAAAAGCAAACACAGTTCATCCCACATTTTGAAAAAACGACAGACTGAAAAACTTGTCTTATCAACAAATTTTGCCCACTTCCAAGAGTCAACTACCATCCAACCCCCCAAACACCCCCCTATGCCTAAAAAAAACATGCCCGGCTCCGCCATTCCAACCGCCGCCGGCGCCAAGAACGCCGCCGCGTTCTCCCCGGCTCCCTCGGCCTTTCCGCCCCGCATTCCGGAGCGCCGGCTCCGTCCGCGCCTCCGTCGCCGTCGTCCTGCGGCTTTGGCCCGCGCGCTACGGGCGGTGCTGGGGCGGCTGCCTGTCGTGGCGGTGCTGGGGCGGCTGCCTGTCGTAGTGCACTGATTGAGGTTTGGGATGGGGAGTGGTTTTTTTTCACAACACGTTGAGGAAAGATACAGAAATGTTCAAAGAAAAAATCTGAGTATGTTATTGTCAACGAAAGATCCGAGAATATGTTTTTTTTCTGATATTCAATTGTGTCCATTGACCAAAACAGTATCTGGACGATGCTGGTAGCGCTTGGGGGCCTTGGCCTCCAGTTGCCCCATGCGTTTGGCGATAGCCCGCTGCAGCACTGGCAACTGCCTGGCTCGTGATCGGGCTCCTTAGGGATGTGCGTCGGAATCTCTGGAACCCCAACCAATACTACTTGAAAGAGTCACATGTAAAAGATCTTAAGTATTCTGAAGTTACAATTTTCCTATATGATCCTACATGCATGCACACATAGGTAATGCGCATTTGTGTTTACATCGTTTCATATTCATCACTTTTTCAGAAAACCAATGCCCCACTGCCTCTGGCACCAAGGACAGCCCTGCCGGGAGAACACTGTGAGCACCTGCAAAAGGGCACGGGATGGGTTTCCAGGGAAAATCTACAGGAAAACATGGGAAAACCATGGAAAACCCACGGTTTTTTACCACTGAATAGGGAGGTGTCCTACAAGACATATCTGAGAGTCTTTGGTGATCGGGATCATCAGCCCAAAGTTGGTCAAAAATTGGTTTTACTGACTTGAAACATCTTGAAACCAATTTATATATATATGTGATCTTGTGGTTGAAAAATGTTGTAAATGCAAAATGTAAACGAAATTACCAACTAACCCTGTTTCTCTTGGGGTCACTGTGTGCACGAAAACGTTGAAAAAAATCCTTGCGTGCGAAATATTGGAAAAAACATGAAAAAACAGGAGGCCCCAGCGTCTGCAATCATTCCCGGAAAAAACAGGAAGGGACTGTTCCTGGAGACACCTTGAAAATGCACATCTAAAAAAATGGGTTCCAAGGGGGCGTGTTGTTTTCGTTGGCAAACGTGTTATGTCGCGTTTTGGTACAAGTACAAACCTTGAACGGAAGAACGGTGGTGCCACTCACATTTTTACAAAGCAAACCACCCCTTTTTTGGGTTTCGAGGGTCACCTGATAGAAACGTGTCATTTTTTGTCATTTGAAGACCTTGAAGGATCAATCTCAGACCTTGCAAGATGGAAGGGTGGCAACCAAACCATCAAGACTCAGCATGTTTTTTGAGATTTCACCATACAAACCTGCAAAATCACGGACGTGCTGAGAAATAGCCTGCCAACTTGTGACCCTTTTTCCATGGATATGTCGGATATGTTTTGTTTCGATGGGCTCTGACAATCCCGAACCAAACCGGATTCAACGTTTGCAACCGTCAAAATCCAATTTGCTATGTTGCAGGTTCCACACCCCAAATACCACGAAAAATCATAGTTGATGAAATTGAAGGGAAACTGTTGTTTGGCATCTCTGGTTTCAAACACACCAGTTCGTGCGGCGACAAGAACCACGATGGCAGATGTCTCTGTATTTTTGTCAAGGCTACAACGACCCTTTCTGGAACAACGCTGTTGAAGGTCCAACAAACCCTGCCTGTTCTTGCCCTGTCTTGATGGCGGTGGTCATCTCACTCAACCTGCGCCAGGGGCAAATCCATCCGATCCCTGCGGCTGCGCTTTGAAAACACATAGCAACAGCAAGGAGTGGAGGTGCGTGGCCCTAGCGCAAACATGACATTTAAACAAGAAATCATATGTGGTCATAGTCGTTGTCTACACATGCTTACTGCGAAGAGAACAGTTCGGGAATGGTAGGGCCATAATGTGCCATGGCTGGGTCTGTTGTCTCACGGTTGCCGGGCACATCCGGCAACGGCGCACGCAACAATCTGGGTTTCCAGACAGCCGTTGCTGCCAACCTCAACACAGGCACAAATGAGTGGCAACGTGGGGCGAACCTTTTCAGATCCCTGTCTTTGCCGTGCACATGTTTGTTTCACCAAAAAGTCTGGCCTCGGAGAAACAATGCCGAAACTTAAGCGTGCGCCAACATGTCAAACAGCCGCCCCGTGGCCTTCGCGGGCACTTCTTTCGCCTGAGCGGCGGTTCACCGGGTCCGGCAAGCGCAAGAAGCGCCTGGCGGGGTGGTTCTGAGCGGTGATGAAAGGCGCAATCTTTAAATAATGCGATGAACCAAACAGTCACCTCAAAGTTCACCAGAAGTGGGTGGGCGTCAGCCATCAAAAATTTAAGTTCATTGTTGGTCTTGACCCATCATCAACTCCTCAACCCCCTTCGAAAACCATCCACTTGATGGTTTTCCCTGGGGCTTTGCCACTGGGATCACAAAGTCGCTGTCTCTTCTTACCGATGTTAAGCCGTGCTGCTCCGAACCGGGCTCATGAGCTCGCCTGCATGAAGTGTTGCTGACCGCGGCATGTCGTGCAAGTGTTTGGTGGAAACGTTTCCACGACTAAAATGCCAGAAGGCCTTGGTCACCATCCTAACTGTGGATTCTTCTTCCTTGAAAATGCTTAATGGCACTTTCTTTTCTGCGCCAGCTTTGGTTCCAAACCGTTTTTTGGCCACATGGGCATTGCTCAAAACGATCTACCCAAAGGACTGCTTCTTACCCGTTCAGGTTCTTTAATTCCCAGATCCCATGATTCCGCTAAATCCCAATTTACCCCAAGTGCTATTCCAGGTGTTAGGGGTCCATGGGTGCAAAATTCTTGGGTTGCCATCCCCGCAAGCCTTCCCCCTGCAACTTGTCACCGGGCCACGGGGATACAATGGATACAAGTTGGGTGCATGAGTCAACCGATATTCCTAAAGGATGGCGGCGAACTACCCCCGGATCCTCAGTTGGTGATATCCCTGGTGATTTCAGTGGGATAAGTAGGGTTAATCCACTTATAACTGGAGTGAACTAAGCTACTTAGGATCTGGGTAGTTCGCCAACAAGTGGGATGATATGGGATGGTTGCTTCTTTCCCGAAGGATGACATGGCACAGTTCCACCAGGCGTGATCCGTCCCCCAAAAGGGGAAAGTGTTTTCCTCGAAAACCAGCTGTGAAAGCTATGTAAACACCGTTGATTTCTGATTTCTCATCAATTTCTCCTACTATAATTGCCGAAAATTGAAGCATCCCCCAGGTAGGGCTGACCTCCATGGGTTTCGGACTGGATTCCCCAGTAGCTGGTTTTCTATAGTTTGAAACCAGGAACCAGAGTCATGCAATTATGTAAAATTCTATTGTTGGTCCTATCTTGTTCAATTCATACGGCTTAAGCCCAAAACTAAGAATAGGAAATTAGTATGTGAAATTATGAGTGCTATAAATTCTTTGCGTTAAGTTCTTGGTATGTGACATGATTAGTACTAGACTTGTCAGAACTCGGTGCAAGGAGCTCGCGGAGCTCTCCAACCTTTAGGTGAGTTGTGCTTATGGTTGATGGCCAAAAAGATTCAGAAAAGGACTGGAAACCTGGAAACAATGGTTCGTAAACTATCATCTATACCACATGTTTGGCATCTTTGGGGATTAGTATAGGTGAATACTAAATGGGAGAGTGGTCCAACTACTTACCCAGTCCTCAGTAGCAATCTTTCTTTGTCACTTGGAGCTTCTCTGATGTTGTCTAAGCCTCGATCCACCAGGCCAATCGCCAAGTGGGTATACGGGATTTAAAGAAGATAGGGCGGGTGACTTGAGCAATGAAAACATGCATGAATGCATGGACGGCCAATTCCCAACTAGTCACGAATCATGTTCGCAGAACTTACATCATGACCTCCTTTCCCATCGGCCAGCTATTTCTGCGACGAGGGCACCTGCAGGCTAAGTGTCGTGAACGGCACACAACGCAGGGATCCAACCCAGGTTGATGCCTCGATCCACCGCACAAAAAGGCCTGGGAACCCATATCGCCTAGCTGGCACGAAGTGCCGAAAAGAAGACAACAACAGAAACACCAAAGAAAATAACACAAAAACAAAACCAACAATCAAATACCAAACCAAGAAGACAACTTCCAGGAGGAGATGGCTTCTGCTGATTCAATCAGGATCTGCGCAGCTTCATGGCAGAAACCAGTTGGGTACGGTTGGGCGCGGTGTGTCCACAATTGTTTAGAAACAGGGTCCTGACCACGCAGAACAATGTGATACCTACCAGTACGTGAACACACCCCGCATCGCCCTTTGCAGATGTTCGCAAAAGCAGGCCAATCTTGGCAGAACCAAGTTTGGATACGGGTTCGCTTTCGCCATTTGGATCCATGCTGACAAAAATCGTAAACCAACAGCGGGAACTAGACAAGTGGCAAACTCTAGAAATAGGGGGAGCAAGCCACATCATGGATCCGGCGGGGTTATCCAGACAGCACGGAATGTGAAACTTGTGACACAGATGAACGATCTTAGCAGTAATTCGCATGGTCTGATTCCCTAGTTGGATCTTTTCACGGTCCTTGGAAGAAAGCCCGGCCAAACCAAAAAGATGATTATTGTCCCTAAGGGTGCCCCACACAGATCCAATGGGACCATGTCTAGCACGGCTCCAACTTGTACAGGGAGTAGCTAACCAAACGCCATGAATGCAAGCCCCCTGATCCAACCCCCAATAACTTTGAAATTCATGCTGCTATACAAAGATCAAGACTGGAATCAATGCAAGTATCAACAGAAACAACACCAAAACCAGAACCACAAATTTTCTTAGAAACCCCAGCATCACCGCAAAACAAATCAAGAAAACTTTGCGAGAGGAGCTGCGCGAGCCCCGAAGAGCTTTGCGGAACATCTTCTTTAAAAGAGTGGCTCCAGAGCTCATTGGTTTCGACGGGCAACTTTCGCGCTTTTCCACATGAGCCGGGTGATGACTGGGTTCCAACACTGACGCTGGGAACCATGAGGAAATTTGTGAGGATCTTTGGGAGGTCGTGCAAAATCGTTGCGCCATATCTTCGAATTTCTACAGGAACCTTTGCTAACTCAGTTTGCAACCTGGCCATCTTGACCTACCTTTTCAAAGATGAGTCCGCGCTCCAACGTCCTCTTTGCTTCACTTCTAGGGTCGTCCTCCTTCTTGTCAAAAAGTCGTGAGTCGCCCCCCCATGTCGCAGAGTGTAGAGGCTGCTGTGGAGGTGATCCAACTTCAGGTGCGTCTGCGCTCGTGCAAACTCGTCGACCAGCAAACTGTGAGGCTGATCCCACAAAGGTCCTTCTGGGTCTTTGTTGTGAAGAAGTCTTTGCAGTATGGGGTACATCCAAACATCGCTGTCTACCATGACCGACAAATCGAAGAGGCCTATCTTGCCGGGGACCTTGTCCTCGGTCGGGTGCAGCAGAATAGCAAAATGAATGAAACGATTTCCAGCAGTCTGTTGCGGAGGTACTATCTGCTTGGCCTTGAGGTTTGAGCACCCCCGCGGACGTATGTAAGTCATGAATTGGAGAAACAGTCGAAGGGCCAACTGGTGATGTCCCCAGCTGCAAAACACTCCCATCATAGCGCCCAACACTTCGATCGGCAGAGGCAGGCGCTGCTGCCCGGCGAGACTGCAGTCCAGCCTTTCAAGGCTTTGACAGTTCTCGGAAGCATCACAGCTGAAGGCTTCCCTAGGGCTGGATTGAAGAAGCTCACTGCCACATGAACACGAACTCCATCGTCTATCCCCCTCCCTAAGTTGAAGAGTTCCTGCAGGTACTCCACAAGGGCTAAGTCCAGGAGGGCCGGTGAAGAAAGGTTGAACTGCTGTGAATGGGTCCAGGTCATGAATTTCTCCATGCGAAGCTGATAATCTCTCAGGGTTGGTGCTCTTACGCTCCTTGCTTCCAGATAGGTCATCCCCTCTGGCACATCTGCTTTCTGCGACTTCTAAAACTGTCTTTTGAGTCTTCTTTCTCTGTTTCCGGCTGTCTTTGACATGGTGATCTATCTCCTCAGTAACTGAACAAGGAACATCACTATGGCGGATGTCTGACCACCAACGCTCCAGTCCAGCTGCCTGCCACGCTCCTATTGAACGAGAAGGGGAGTCAGCAACATTGTGTTCACAGACCACCCATCTAGTACAGACCTTTGAGCCAGTTGCGAGACAAAGAGCAGCGATTTGGCGAAGCGGTCTGAGAAGATGTGGAGATTTGGCCCTCTCCTTCAAACATCCAAGAACCAGCGGCATGCTGTCACAAAAACAAAGCAGCTTCTTGCTGAGGCACCGGTTGGCTCTGAGAAGATGTTCGACTGACCATACCAGTGCCCGAGCTTCAGTGTTGAGAATATTGGCTTTAAATCTCCATGGTTGTGACCAAACAACACTCCAATCTTTGGGGTCCATGATCTCTTTGGGGACTTCATCAAAACCTTGATCAACAATGAAGGAGGGATAGTCATGGTGAACGTCATCCGCCAGGATTTTTTTCATCTGGATTGGACAAAGCATGCTTGCGGGCTTGAACTGCATCCTCAAATTTGGATCGCCACCTTTCGCACTGAGAACCTAATTTTGAAACAGTGTGATCGTCCAGTTTCCTGCAACACACCCCGACACCCCAGGGAGAGGAGTCAGAGGCTGACACATCGTTGGCCCATCCACTGTTGATTCTCATGCGAAACAAGGGCAAAAGCGCACTTATCCAGCTAAGTTGCAAAATCTTTTCGGAGAAATAGAAACAAAACCGGTCTCACCATTAAAATGCAATCCAACAAAGTGTCCATGTTTGCTAGCCCCCTCCTCTTCACGCACTGTGAGACCCATTGCTCTCAGACTCTCAGAGTTGACGGCAGTTGGACAAGTCCCAAAGACACCGAAGTTGTCAACGTAACCCGCAACTGCGATATCGTCATCACCATTCAGCTGAACACCGGATCTCTTGTCCCCAAAAACCTGCCTGCCCACAAAACCCGCTTGTTGAATGGCATTATTCAGCACCATCTGACAAAAGTGAAGTGCCCATGACCACCCCATAGGCAGGATCGTGAGGTAAGGCAGAGCATGTAGAAGGCCGGGACAAAGCAACGAGGCCTCGATGACGGCAGGGTGAACCGCTCGGCCAGGTCTGGGGAACTGAGAGTGTATAAAAAGCATTGGCAAGATCACCTGAACCAATTCAATCTAGAACTCTTCGTTGATGGGTGTTTCCAATCGTGTGAACGCATCTGCAGAGGGAAGGTCAGTCTTTGGGGGCTCCTTGAAATCCAGATTCATCCTTCGTGTGTCAAAGATCAGCCTTAGCTGACCTGACTTTTTCTGGACGAAAAAGATTCCAAGAACCCCTTGTTGCCCATCCGCAGGCATGAATTTAACCATGTTTCGCTTGTGCAATTCATGAAGGAATCGACTATAAGCACCCTTATCATTCTTTAAAACCGGATCAACATCAGTATGAATATCATCACCATGTTGAGTGGGTTCACTGTTGAGCATATGCTTGTGCCAAGACCCCGGCCATTCCCTGTCAGCGGCAGGAATGCACTCCACCAATGGGACAGGCGAAAATGCAACCTGCGGCCAAGAAATGTTTCCTTCGGCATAGGGCATCACTGCACTCTTACCTGTATTGTACAAGCGAGAGGATGAACATAGCCCATGAAGCCCATCACAATCAGCAAAACATGACGAACCAGGATATGCAAAAGAATAGGCATCACGAACCATTTGCTGAACTCGGCGTTGCGCGCGAGTGGTCTTTCGTTTGGCTGAAAAATCAAAATTAGTACACACAGAAAGTTCATTGAGTGCTTTGATCCCTTGGTTTGCAAACGGTCTCCAAGAGTCTGACCCTTGGTTCCCGCCTCCATCCTCAGGGATCTCAGGCAGAGGGAGGATGTTACGCGGACGTCCAAAATCATCCGCTACGCCGGCATCTACCGTGACGAAAAATTGAAAAAAGATCAGCAGCAGCCACCACCAAGTGAGAGGACCATGGATATGAGGGCCTGCGCATTGTCCTCTTAGGCCTTCTCCTTGTCGCCCTTCTCGTGCTTTCGAGGGAGGTTTCTTTCCTCCCTTGCTTTCCGCCTCTCCTTGGCAATCGCCGCCTCCTTCTGCATCTCGGCACCTATCCACTCCGATAGCTTGGGGGAGATGACTGTCCCCACACGACTTCCGCCTGCTGATCCCAGGAATAGAGAAGTTTCGCCTGAATCGTCTGCAGCATGAAGTTTCAACTTGTGTTGGTCTTCGATCCGTTGAATCGCCCTTCCAACCAACTCCGCCGATGCCAGGTTCGTCACATCGAGCTTGTCGTAAACAACCATTGTCTGAAGGATCCGGCATAGCATTTCGTGGTCCTGGGCTGGCTTGTCTGATGGTTGAAATTTGCATGCCACTCTCCAAGCCTGTGAATGGGCAATCGGGGATCCTCCATGCTCCACAACCCGAGACAAAACATGAGGGATTGTCCTTGGCCCAGCAACCGGCCAATCCATTCGAAACTCCTTGAAACGATGTCCTTGCGAGTCCCGAGAGATAGCCAAGGTCCTGGCATCCTCCTGATCCACATCCATAGCACCGGCCAAAGGTCCGGCCCCCATGAGGGGGAACTGGATTGACTGGGAGGCCCCTTTGGAGCTTTTCGTGGATCGAATCGATACACGTGATTTGGATCTGCGCCATGTGGAAATGGGCCATGGGGATCGAGAAGTCTCCAGCTGTCGGTTTCGTGACTGTTGGCACCAAAATCCTCCGCATAAGGTCCCCGTCTGGGGTCAGAATTACCCATTCGCCTCCGGCAATGTGTGACAGCACCAACCGTGCATGCCACGTCAAATCGCCAGGGATGTCGTAATGAACCAAAATGAACTTACCACTGATTTGGTCTACATTGTCTACATGCTGAGGAGGTCCCAAGGGCAGGACGCCGGCCATCCACAATTGACAGGAGCAGGGGTAGAATCAGTGAGTATCAGCTGCCTCCACCGCAAGTAGAGAGCAAAGATAATCACCACACAAACAAGTAGTCCACCCAAAACAGCTGACAACTCGACATGCCCCGTAGTGCACACCATCTGAGGGCAGGAGCAGGATCCGCACGCCAATGAGCAGGATGGGCAAATGATCTCGGGAACACTGCCCTTAATCCAGCAGCTGGCTATGGCGCCTGCCCCTAACGCCAGGAAGTGAGAAGCTAGCGGGTTGAACTGCATTTGACTTGAGCGATGAAAACATGCATGAATGCATGGACGGCCAATTCCCAACTAGTCATGAATCATGTTCGCAGAACTTCCATGGCTTATGGCCATCCATACCATGTGGAAATTCAAACATCATGGGTATGCAAATCCCGATGAGAATGGATTGATGACCATCCCCAAAGATGGGTATAGAATCCAACTTTTGATTATACTTGGCCATATCTTCCATGAATTCCACCTTCATATCCGATTATTATCGCATTAATATGGGAAAATTATTCGTGTTTTGACCATGGTACATATCATCATCCATCCATTACTAAACCATATATTCACCATATATTCACCGTAACATGGTAAATATCATCAATGAATCCAAAACTCCCCAAGAAAACTGAATCGACCACCAGGGGTTGATTGGGCGCTCACTTCACTCAGGTAACATCCGAGCAATTTTGGCTTAAGATGGCCTGACATCAAGTTAACAGTTGGCCGAATAACACAGGATCATACAGGATCTATATATACAATTATATACAGCGTGTGTGTGTGTATGTGTATATACTGCTATCTCTGTATACGAAACAAATCGTCATGACTACAACTACTAACTGCTTCTGACAGTAATAACAAGAATAGAAACTTAGTAGTTGTTAGCCAAATAACTATCTAACAACTATAATTGGATCAGACAAACAACTACCAAAAACTACAAAACCCCAAACATCCAATGGAAATCATTCGCCAAACAATCACCCCTCCAGGCCACTGCGCAGCTGCGCACCCGTCATTCAGCAGGATCTCTTCGCCACTCTGAGGAATTCCCACAACGGCCTCAGGCCGCAGACACCGGGCGACCCAAGGCCAAAAAACCCAGGATGTCCTTTCTGGGCAAGTGATTTATGGTGATAAATGATGATAAATTGGATGATAAATGTGGAAAACCCAGGATGTCCTTCTCGTTGATGATGATAAATGATGATTTTTGTCATCTGGGGAACTTGATGAACTTGACCTAAGCCCAGAAAATTTGAGAACATCTTGGAAAATGTGAATGTTTACTCAGGCTATATGTGGTTTCCCATGATTCGATCAGCTGGCGAAGCAAACCCAGATTTCTGGGATGGGGATATCAACTACACTCGACCTTTCAAGAGTTAGATTGAGAATGAGATCCTGATCTGAGGTTACTGTAAGTTGTATAGAGCTGTATACACTTGGGATGCTAGAGAACATGAATGCCCATTAATTTGGTCATTGCAAGATCAAGATTTCAATCAAATCCATGATTTTTTGATGGTTCCATGAGATTTTGACTATAAAAACCAGGTCTTTCTCCCAACTTTCGCCTGGATCTCTTGGATCAAAACCTTCGCTGAGACTGCGACACCACCCTCTTCGCCCAAGCCCTGGAGGTTGGCGCCTGAAAGGTGGATATGAACAGCTATGGTAATAGGATATACATGGAAGGTACAGAGGCAGGAAGTCAAAATACGGTACATATATATATGTATACAGTAATCATAATAATAATAATATTAGTTAATAATAATTGTTATTATAAGAATAGCAATAATAATTTAATATTGATAGCAATAATAATCATAATAATATTATAATATATATATATTATAATATATATATATATTGCATATTGTGGTACGATTATGTATATAAAAGTTGCCATTTGGGGCTATTCCCAATTTTAGACAAAGACGTATTGCCAAAATGAAAGGCCAAGAAATAGGTGTGGAAGACGATAATCCATGCTTCCCCTATACCGCAACAGGCCCTTGGTTTCTAGGGGTGTCCAGAGTAGATCTCTGGGGTGGGCAAGTCCGGAAATCAGCAAAAATGCTGTGATGTAACATGTGCTTGGCACAGAATCAAAGGATATAACCTCTGGTAAACTAACATAGCTATTGAAAATGGCCATTTATAGTGAGTTTTCCCATTAACAATTGTGATTTTCCATAATTATGTAAACGTTTACCAGAGGGTAATGGATTTCTGGGATGATTCTTTTACCGTTGTAAGTGCGTGGTGACGTTTCTAACGGGTAAAAATTGGTCAAAAAATGCTGACCCTAGCCGAGTAGCCAACGCATCCCAACGCCCAAACTTCACCCATCAAACCATGGTCATCTTTGTTAGTTAATGAGGTTAAAACAATAATCAACCATCCCCAAAATCACAATTTTTATGGGTGGTATAGACCATCAAAAATGCTGTGGTTTATTGAAGTTTATTGGTTTAACCACATTAAACATCATTTTCTCAACATCATCAAAATCACCATTATCAACCAATGATAACCATCATTCCCCATGATTTAACCAATAGATTCCAACCACTCCATCTGTGGCGACGGTGTTTTCCAAGGGAACTTCGACCTTCCCAATTTTGCAGCTGAAATCCCAACCATTCCACCACCCATCCGGGTCTCAGCACCGTCCATCGTCTCAAAGCCCGAGCGCACCTCGGAAGTTCCACTCGAAAGGAAGCGATTTTCCAAGGAACCTCCGTTTTTTTTTCGAGGTGTCCGTTTTGTCATGGGGGTACCGCCAAGGTACCCCTAGTATCCCCCAGTTCTCATCCATTTTTGCTTGGGATTTTCCCTTGAAAAAACCATCCACAAATGGGGACCCCCCATGACAATGGAAACCACTGAGCCCATGGCTCGCAGAACCCAGGGAATGACGTAGCCCACCAGCAGGAGACCGAGGCCGATCCTGAGCAGCGCGAGACTGGGAGGTTTTGGATGGTCCGTTAGATGGCAAAAATAGTAAAAAACGTCTGTAAATGATCGTTTAAATGGAAAAATCAACTATAAATGGTCGTTTAAATGGGAAGATCATCTGCAAATGGGAATTTGTTCTAGTAATTTAACAGCTTGCGAACTGGAATCGAATAAGTTATCTGTTTAAAAAGGATTATTTTCCATTGCTATCTTAGAATGCCAGAGGGTACTGACATTGCAAGAAGCGAAAAAAAAACTCGGATTGTGACATTTGCCCAACATAAGGTACAGAACAAGGATTTGATCAAGCGAAATTCGGGAGAAGAACAACAACTTTGAGGCTCCAAGCAACAGAAAAAGGAGATGTGGCTGCCCGGCTTTGAGGACCCCGCCAGGCCCATTTCGAGGCGTTTTCTCTGCGCGACATCAGCGCCAGAGCTGGCGAGTCAAAGAGGAGCCGGCCAAGTTCCAGATTTCACCACTGAAAATTGGGATTTTAACTACTGAAAGTGTGCATAAATGGTGATTCGGTAGGGATTTTAGGGATTTTATTTATATGTGGAAACCCTGCCATTTGTAGGTTTATCCCAGGGCATCAGTCCTCTGGTGTGGTCCAAGCACCTGGTTATTTGTTACATAGCCATGGAAAATCACCATGCTATTAATAGGTAAACTATCTATAAATGGGCCATTTTCCATGGCTGTGTTAAATAACCAGAGGGTACCTCTTTCCATTGTTTCGGAGGGCTCTTGCCTCCCATTCCCTTCAACCCAACTACGAGTTTTTGAAGTCTTTTCATGGGCCAACTCATCCACACAATCCCGATTGTATCCCATTCCCATTAGATCCCCATTTATTCTCAATTTTTCATGGGTTTATAGATGGTTTTTCCCATGATCTTCCCAGCATTTCACCACCATCTTTGTTGGTGAAATCCCTCACAGCCACCTGCCAGCGCGACCAACAGCCCCGGCAGGATCTGCATCAGCAGATTCGGCGCCAGCAGCAGCAGCGCCACTACCACGACCAGCGCTGTGGTCTGCGGGCCGTGTGTTTTCTCTTCCCGGTGCTGGTTGAAGTGCTACAAGGTGCCCCCCCAACTAGTTTGATATATCATGATATATCAATGATATATCTATCAAAAGCATATCAATAAACCAGCTGCTTACTCTGTTCATATTACAAGGTGGTGCCAACCCCACCAGTGGTATCTTGGTTTGTTTAGTTTCACCCCATCACATAGTTCGACATATCTACCCGTAAGCCGTAAACCATCGAATTCACCGAACGTGATTTGCACACCATGGAGGTCACAAATCTGTCTTTCGGGGAAATCCTCTGAAAAACTGCTGCTGTTTTAAGGTCAGCCGGTTGATGTGATTACCCTCTGGTAATTTGTTACAGAGCTATTGAAAATGGCAATTTTGAATGGGAAAATCAACTATTTCCTATTTCTATGGCCATTTTCAATAGCTATGTTAAATTACCAGAGGGTAAGGGTTGGATAGAAAAGGGGAGATGGGTCAAGATGAACCAACTTGACCCATCGTTGACTGAGAATTCACAAAAAGAATTGGTGAACACCCAACTGCAACTGCTCATCTGGGCTGATTCCCATGTTTCAGTGGTAACTAGTCAAGTTGCCACGTTTCATGAAGCACATCCAGGAAGGGTTGACAATGGCTACTAACATGCTAACCCCAGTAATACACCATAGCGACTTACCAGAAATGGGTATAATGGGTGGGATTCCAACTAACCCAAATGGTAGGTTTGTGGCGAGCCAAAAACACATAGAAAAACAACATATCCTCCGTGACTCATACCAAACGTGTGGAAAAGGAGCATTCTATGGAGGGGTTTATGGTTATAAAATCCACCATTCCATCTTGGGGTACCCTCCGGTGTCCTCAAACGTGGCAATTGAAAACCCGCCTTCCTTCGAGTGCCATCCTCTGCGCCCTGTCAGAGGCTTCTGGTCCCATCCCCCAAAAAAAAACACCACCTAAATGGTCCCAGATATTGAGAAATCCCCTGTTAAACTCTGGTTTCTTGGGGGTGTTTGATGTTAGGGCCGTTAGGAGGATGGGACCCCAATACATGTCCAGCCACGGAGTTGCGGAAGACCAGTTTCTGCCGTTTGAAGTTCCACCCTTGACTGCTACAATCCCCAGCGTATGGTGCCAAGCTAGGTGCGATCGATTCCCAGATTTCCTGAGGTATCCAGGTTTTCTTCAGATGGGATCCCAAGATTGGAGCGTACTCCCAAGATTTCGACTCAGTTTTTCCCAGTTTTCTTGGTTCAACTCTCAAGAAAAAACAGTTTTGATCTCCAGACGTTCATTCCCCAGCCCAGACATCCTGTTTTGGTTCAACTCCCAAGATTTCCCCCGAAAAACCCAACATCTCATATGTCACTCCCAAAAAGATTCCCCAAGTCGTCCATTTTCCCATTGGGAAAATGCCCAAAAAACATCATCGACTCCGCAAATCAAGTTCCGAATCTCGCCACTTACCGGGACCAACATCCCAGCTGCTTGGTTAGGAACCCCTCTGGTTGGTGGTTTCAACCTACCCCTCTGAAAAATGATGGAGTTCGTCAGTTGGGAGGATGACATTCCCAATATATGGAAAAACCAGGTAAGGATATGTAAGGGATACTCCCAAGGCAGACAGCTATGGCGATTCTTTCTCACTATTTTTGGGGTGTTTTACCAAATTTCACCTCCTTGGGGAGCTTACAAAATGGGATACCCTCCAGTCATCACCAGTGCATCGGCGCGCAGCTCGGGCTCGCTACCTGCGCCTCGGCGCCGTTCTGTGAGGCGAATTGGCGCCACATCTGTTCCGCCTCGTCGTAGCTCACCTCGGATGCTGCAAGGTGTCCTTGCTTGGTTCCTTGCTTGGTCTACTCGCAACTTGACATTCCCAAATAACAATCAGGCTGTACAAAAATGGGGAACTAGAGTTGATTTAGTATTTTGCAAAGTAGAGTTTTTTTTACGAAATACAACGGAACAGTGTTCAAGAACCAAAACGTCATTCCACGAAATACTGGTACTGGTTAAGAAATGGATCCCGGTTCACTGGATGAGAATCCCCAATATACATATAACTCTATATATATATAATTATATATATATATGTGTATGTGTGTATATATATATAGGGAGTATCAATAACCCCCTATAATCATCAACCAACAAGGCTATTGAACCCTGCTCAACTGGGGACTTCACCCATCGTTTGATCACTTCATAGGAAAGTCCAGTGATTTTGGCAGCAAATTCAAATCCTCTGTGAGGATGGGGAAAGTACGTTGCAAATCCGGAAGCTAGGATTGTTGCTGCCAATAAAAATTGAAAAATCCGCGGATTCTCCAAAAATCTCTACTTTTACAACTCTTTGAAGAGTTCAGCAATAAACTTGGCCGGCATTCACTACAGTTGATTCCAGGGAAATGTTGCAAACAACATGAATAACGTGCGGATTCTCCACTAAGTCAGTTGAGATATGCAGTTGCAGATCCCTTGCCCTACATAGACCTTACACAGGTACCTCACGATACCTCCAATTTCGGCAACTGTTGGATTTCACTGACTTCAGATAAACAATAACGACAACTATAATCGTATAATTATGTATATATGTATATATATTATATAACTGGTCAAAAAATACAGTCACTATTGGTAACAACAATTAATGATGAAATAAGAACTGTAATATTAACAAAAATATGGGTAATAAGGATACAGTGACTCACCCATTAAACCGCTTAGTAAAACCCCCTACTCACCATCAATCAATAGTGATGAAATGAAAACTGCTCAGTTTGCTGCGGCCAAGTTGCATAGGATCTTGTGCCACCCGTTCGGTCGTACCTGTGCACGTGGTGTCCCAGAGAAGATTGAGATGTGTTTCCAAAAGGATCGGGTGACACAAAAATTGATATATGATGATATATGAGAAGTATATACTTTAATCAGCAGAAAATACTTCAACCATGCATCCCAAATTCAGCTGGATCATGCCATTAATGAAATGTCCATCGAAGCTCGTAACTGGTCAATAACCTTTTCCCAGCTATCAGCGGGATAAATAGCTGCAGAAATAGGGGATACATTGGGGATACTGAGGTCCCAGAAACACGCATAGCTGAGCTTTAATGCCGAGCGAACAAGTTCATTTTTATGCAGGTCAGTGAATTTCTCCATCGGCGAAAACCAATCTTTTAAGCTTCCCAAGCAATAGACAATCTGTTGAACTACAGAAACATCAGAAACTATAGTAGAGGTAGTTCACTATATATCTAGTTTTTATATATATATACACATATTCACATATCATCTCTAGTTTCTATATATCTAGCCCTTAGTGGGGCACAAGTAGAGGTGCTTCACTCACCCAAGCGCACTCCGCACGCTTCTCCGGATCCCGCAGCACGGAATACGCTTCGGAGATGCGTTTGAAGCCGATCTGACAGGATCCGTGGCAGCTGCCACGCCATGGTCGGGCGACAGGATCAACAAACTGCGGCAACGTCTGAGATGCAAAGTTTAGTCATTGAAAAAATTTCATGATGAAATTTCATGTGTAATTAGGATGTAAAAAAAAAAATGGGGGTACTGTAAATGATCTGGAGCTGCGTTTGGGGTTGTCTCAGATTCACCCAATATTTATCATCCTAAAGGTATAAACACTGAGTCTTGAAGAATATATCGATACCATTTTTGATGGGTAAATCACCATTTTTAATGGGTAAATCACAATTTTTAATGGGTACGGTAAATCCACTACAAATGTTAGTTTACCAGAGGGTATATCCAATTTTGAGACCACCCGAATTTGGGCTTCCAGAGAACATGCATTTGAATCAGCCGGCCTCAGCATCCTTTGTGTTTCCCTGATTCTTGTCCTTGGCAAGCACGTCAATCTGCGACTTGGGGTGTCCAAGTCGAATTTTAGGCAAAACAAAAGAATATACCCTCTGGTAATTTAACGTAGCTATGGAAAATGGACCATTTCTAGTTGATTAACCCATTAAAAATGGTGGATCTTTCCATAGTTTTTGTATGTTTACCAGGCCGGGTATCTAAAACAACGAGGTTGGACAGAACACTTTGTCCACCATCCCCCAAAATCCACCAATTTTTCATGGCGACTCAGGGTGCTCATAAAAAAAAAAAAACATCAATCCAGTTACACATGTCAGTCTACCTGAGAGAACTTACCTCAGTTACCCTCTGGTTTTGTCAAAATAGCTATTGAAAATGGCCATAGAAACAGTTGATTTCCCTATTAAAAATGGTGGATCTTTCCATTGTTTTTTGTATGTTTACCAGAGGGTAAACCTCCATTTTCCATCATTTTCCTATGGTTTTCCTATGGTTTTCCAGTCATTTACCCTCAGTCCTATGATAGTCCACACATCAATCCAGTTCCGCATAACTCAGAGAACTTGCCTCAGTCCTCAGCACTGCTGACCCCTCCTTGCCGGCAGGTCACGGGATGGTACTTCAAGGCCAGCGTGCGATAGGCTTTCGCCAGCTCGGCCTGTGAAGAGACAAAAAAAAAACTGTAGAAATCCCATGGAAATGTATGGCATATCCTGGGGATAATGCCATATCCCTATTGGGATAATCATGGGATTTTTCCAATAGCCATAAGGATCATCTTGGGATAATAGGATAATCATCATAGGGATAATCCAAATTATGGGATAATAGGATAATCAAAAATTAGCCCATATTGAAATAGGATATTATCCCATATGGAGATGTCCATTCTCAAGGATAGTATCCCAATAATCCCAATGTCACTATGGTAACTCTCCAAAAGTACATGGAAAAGTGGGAAACCTGGAAGTGTTTGGTGAATATCATCGAACTGACATCCTGGTTTCACACTTTTAGGCATCTTTTTGCGAGTTACTGTAGCTCCCTAGTATGTTGATTAATTATCATTAATTGTTGGTAAATCTCGGTGAAGCATGATTTGCAGTTTGAAATTCTGGGAGAATTATGATAAATCCCCATATCCTAGAACTGGGTGAAGGGATCGTTTTCACGGGAACCCTGTTCTCTTAAACCAATCCATTGATGATATCAATCTGGGAGAAGCATGAATTGAAAATGAAAAAATCTTGGAAAAACATGGTATAATGATATAATGCATTGGTCATAGAATGTAATAAAGGGCACATAACCCCACATCAGATACTTTGTGAAGTGGAAATACGTTCGAATGCTTGGAATTATAATACAGCATGATCAAACATGGGAGGTTAAATATGACAGAATGTAAAATGCTTTGGGCTGATTTCACCATTTCAAACCAAACGTAAGCCCATCTCGGGGGAATAAATGTGCCCCGCTTTGCCTTTGTTGGAAGGTTCAGTGTCTGTATCTTGAACTTACAGCCACTTCCTGCCAAATCGGGATACCCTCTATATCTGGTAGGTTGTTTCCCCTACTTACCCCACTTATGACTGGGGGGTACATCAAACTACAGTAAATGGAGGTTTAGTTCGCTGGGAAAATCATCGAACTAAATGGGTGATTTTCCAGCAAGCCAGGTTGGATTAGAGTAATTTCCCCCTGAAGCAAGGACCAGCTAAGGCAATCTTTGGGATGATTTCCTTCACCATGTTCCTGACTTCAGTAGGCCAGTGACACTTCCATCTTGGAAATTATGGAGGAAACATCATCTTTTGCACATCCTGGAATCACATATCGATCTTTTTGGGGGACCCCATAATTATTTCTACCAATTCTTTGGGATGTGGGATTTTTGTCTGCATAATACAGCCAGCCCTTCTTGAATGATGTTATATGGTTTTTTCCCAATCTCCGAGAAAATCTGACCCACCATTTGGGTACCCCGGTCCGGATGTGTTCATCATGCTCCCCATGAAAATTGTCATGTTGGGGTATACTCCATTTTCAGACATACAAGAAGCACTTAAAACCCATCATTCATTGTCTAAAAGCCTCAGTTGTCATGGTTCAATCCCCAGTTTTCATTGGTTAAATCCTCAAATCTTCATGCTTAAACCCCAATTCATTGGTGAAATCCCTAAAAGTTCAGGCTAAAATTCTCTAAATTCACTTCATTGGTTAAATCCCCCCAATCTTCATGAGAAAACCCCAATTCGTTAGTGAAAATCACCAAAAAAACATGCAAAAAATCTCCAGTTCGGCTGGTTTTCGCTCAGCCTCCGAGGCATTGTGCGCGACGCCCAGCACGGTGTAGTGGTTCCCGGAGGCAAAATCGACGGGAGCCGCAGAGGAGGCCATTGCGGAGGACCTGGATATGGTGGGTGGAGATGTGGGTGTTGTTGGGCATTTTAAGCTGTTTAATGAGGATCATAATGGGATACTCATATGATAATAATGGGATGTCATTTAAACATGAGATAATGTGGTTTTGTATGGTTTCATAGGAAGAGTAATGGGATAATAATGGGATATTGATGGATATACCCTCCTGTAAACAAACATAGATTCTAGATGTGGATAACCCACCAGGTGTAGATTATTTCCGTAGAGAAACCATGGGTTTTCCATATCTATGTAAACGTTTATTCCAGGGTATACTCATGGCAAGTAATATCGAATAGACACATTATACATTGGGAGTTATCTTCGAGTAAGATCGAAACCAAGATTGATCACCATATATGATCTTTAAAATGGGATACTCATGGATTATTGATGGGAATACAATGGGATAGGTTTCGGGGATATGATCCTCCGGTGTCCACTCCTGGATAGCTTGAAAATCATCCAACCAGTTGATGTGATCTGGTGATGTTGGTTTTTGGTCTTGACATCCTATATGTTTCGCTATATTATATATATACATATATACGTATATGTATTTGGTTGTGATAGTTGATATATGTATAATTCTACATCTAATCATATACATTCATATATACTATAAATAGATACACCTATCTACATATATATTATGTGTGTAGAATGGGATAGAATAGGGATAGGATTTAAGATACAGTAAAACTATGTAAAACTAACCAACAGCTATTAAGGCGTTTTTGGAGATGAGGATATTTTGATCCCCACTGCCTCGAAGGACGAAGGCGCTGCGGCGCACGCTTCAAACTACAGCGGTTCAAAAATTTCCGGCAGCAGCTGGTCCAACGCGTTGCTGTTGCAGTTGTGGAACTCGTCACAGCACTTAAAAACAGCTGCAGACTTATCCATTTTGCTAAGAAAAGTATTTCGATTTACGCCAAAGGTTGGGAAGAGTTTTCTGTAGTCATGTCATTGAGATAAAATTTCTGCTGACTTTCACCTGCACCATCAGAATCTGGTTGGACACTACCAGTAACTGGAACCAACAGAGAAGCAAGGCAGAAAACATCCTTCTGATGCGGGGCGTCTGATTGCGAGGGGAGGAGAAGACATGGGTGCCTGAATGGGGTTGAACTCTTGGATATGTTGGATAAATTATGTACTGTAGCATTTCGACAATGGAATCGTTCTGATGAAACTGCTTTCAGGTGCAGAAAAACAGCCAAGGTTTTGAATGAAGCATTGACGAACCTTCGCTCGACCCTTCGGTCAGTTTCAGCGTCGTTTTCTCAGCGCTACCATGATCTGTAAACTGAACAGACCACTGGTCGCTAGTTTCAATCATCCCAGGTAGAAATACCATCTGGTTATGACTAACATAGCCATGGTATAGATGGCCTATTTGGTTAGATGGTTTACCTATTATAAATGGTGGATTTTCCATGGCTATGTAACAAATAACCAGATGGTAGACAAGCTTGGGGACTCCCTGGGGCGTTAAAGATGGTGCCCAGTGATGTGAACGTGGGTTTACAAAGCCCATGAACTCATGTTGCTAAAGCAATAGGATCCACCATCCCCAAATTTACGTAAATTTACCATATGTTCAACCATCAATGCATATGGGTGGTTTATGACATTGCCTTACTAACATAGATATATCTGCCATAAACCATCGAAACCATCGAATTCACCGAACGTGAACTGTGCCCCAACTTCGCGATTTGGAACAGCGGCACCACCTTGTCAGCCCCTTTGGATGGGCGTTGCCTTTGGAGGGTGGCTCTACAATTCAAAACAGTGATTGGTTGATAAGCATGCTTAGGATAAGATGGGTTATGGTTAATGAAGCTTACTAAGGTATGATTCGGTACAATCATCATGAATTCTACTTATATGTGTTGCTTACCCCATCTAGCTGTATAGATATATCCTTTCAATCCAACAGTTTGCCTCCTTGAAACCCATAAAAGGAACAAAACCAAAATCATCTTGTGGGCTGTATAGATATATATATATACATACATACCACCATATCCCATGACGGCCTACAATATCCATGTATATGTCTAGCTCCATCAAATGGTTCATATAGAGTTGGTTGAATATTTTGCTGTGGTTCATACATACATTATATATATATACACATATGTATAGACATACATAGCCCAGTGTATGTATGCATAGGGACTGCTTCTTTATATCGCTATAAGATGGTTCTTCTGTCCTTTGACCACTCAATAATGGATATGGGTGTGTCTGAAAATGGTGTACCGCAATGACAAGTTTGATCGGGAAAATGATGTTCTAAACCACAGGATAAAATGGGGTGTCCTATATTTTCAGACAAATCCATTTCTAGCAATGCCTAAAGTCCCAACAACAACAACAACAACCACAGCCACAGCCACAACCACAACCACAGCCACAGCCACAACCACAACCACAACCACAACCACAACCACAACAACCACAAAAAAAAAAAAAACACAATATATAATAACAACGACCAGAATAACCACAACAACCACAACACCCACAATAACCACAATAACCACAACAACCACAACAGCCACAACAGCCACAACCACAACCCCGTGTAATAAAAGAAAATGTTTCATGTTGCAATATCCATACAGCCAGCACCAACAGCTGACAGGTCCCTACTACACGTCGGTCGCAGCTTCTTTTTGCCGCACCAGCATCTGCGACCTGGAACCGGATTGGGAGTCTCATTTGGGGGGTTCCAGAACGGTTGGCCCGAAAAGACAGAACCAACAATGGTAGTTGATGGTCCTTTGAGGTCCGAAGATTGGCGATGTTTGTGGAATAGACATAGATCATAAATGCATTGAAGTTACCATTTGCTCATATAAATATTCATCAGATCCTAAATTAATCATGTGTACATATCATGTGTATATTCATACATATATCATATGCACAATCTGTACATATACAGATCATATTAAAACATGGCCGTTGGTCAACACCCAACGGTCCCCTTCTCCCGGCCTCCCGGCCCTTCAGCTCTTCCGCTTGGCCGCCGCCCAGGCTTCCTTCTGACAGTCGCGACCGCAGAAGAAGACCTGGCACCACGAAAGCCACCGATGCTGCAAAAGGCTCCTCCATTTCAAGAGTTCAATAGGGTGTTGATATATAGTTGATGTAGGTATATATGTTGATATATGTTGATATATGTTGATATATGTTATATGTTGATATATGGTAACTCCCAAGATGCAGAAAAAGCTTCATTTATCAAGAGTTCAATAGGGTATTAGTGCAATTACTTTCTGCATCTTTTTGGGAGTTGCTATTAGATATTGATACATACGTAGAATGACACCAAAATGCATGAGGCAATTAATTGGCTTCTTCTGTGGTTTATTGAAACAATTTTATCCCAAGCAACACCAAAACCCAACTCAACATACCCAAAAATTCATGGTGTTCTCATGGATTCTCATCCAACTTGCCTCAGAATTCATACAAAGTCTGGACTTACCTATATAACTCATGGTATTTTCATCCAACTTGACTCAGAAATCATAGAATTTCGAACCCTTCAAACCACTGCGGCATGGCACCTCCTGGCCCTCCTTGGCCCAGGCCCAGTTGCTGCAACGCTGCCTTGGCGCACGCGGAATCCACAGGTGCTTTGGAAGATCTTTAGGAGCTGAAGTTGTTTTCTTTTAGATCAGTCTGGATTGTAGGGAATTCTTGGGTTTTTTTTGTTAAGACCCTTTCCCAACAGCTCCGTGGAAAATGGAGGTCTAACAACTAGAAATTGGGATTTGAACCAGCGAAAATTTGGGATTTTATCATGATTTATATATGTGATTAATAGGATCACTAGGCTAAACATACAAAAAAGATCTGGAAAATTCATGGGGAAACCCCTTCTGAAAATGATGGATCTGAAGTTGTGTTCTTTTAGATCACTCCAGATTGTAGCGAATTGTTTCGGGTTTTTGCTATACCCTCTGGTTATGTCAAAATAGCTATTGAAAATGGCCATAGAAATAGTGAGTTTTCCCATTAAAAATGGTGATTTTCCATAGTTATGTTAGTTTACCAGAGGGTAAAACTATTCCCAACAGTTCCAGCAATACCTCTGCGGTCCCCCACAGGTGCTTACCCTTCACGCTGCAGTGCAGGCACCTCAAAAATCCAAAGCTGCCAGGAGGGAGCCATCGATCTTTTGGGGGGCAAAGTAGAAGGAGAACACCCGCCTGAAGTTCGATGTATATTAATGTATACATATATAGTTTTTGTAAATATTATAATATATCTATTATATATATATTATAATACATATGTATTTATTATTACATGATTATATCATAATATAGGTATGTTATGTATAAATATGAATGGCCACAGCGGCCATGATTGGTTGATAAGGTTTTGAGTCCAAAATAGTCAAAATTGGATGATTGCCTACCAAAATTGGATGATTACCTACCACATCAATCAATATGTGTCACCAAATTTCTTGACTGCCAATGTGTTCGTTCGCAAAATTTATCATAAATGGGGGTACCCCAAAATGGTTGGTTTATAATGGAAAATCCTACTTTAATGGATGATTTGATGGTACCCCCATTCTACGAAACCCCCATATGGTCATGAGCCATTTATCGCTACTCAAATGGGCCATCGGGCCATGGGGTTAGTTATATAACTAGTTGGTAACTTTACGTAACTTTATCACCAACTAGTTATTATTATTATATATAACCAACCAACTAGTTATACCAAGTTATGTAACTTTATGATCTATATAACTTACATAACTGTATGATAGTCCATTATTTACCAAGAGGTTTTTTCCACCAATGACTAACCATTCACCTCCCAGGGCTCGGCACCTCGGCTCCTGCGCTTCGGGTTCCGTTCGTTCCACCCCATCGCGCCGCACGCCGAAGACGGCGCCCGTGGTGCTGAACCTCGTGGTGAGGTTCAGGTGGGCAGAGGATTGGTCTGGAGACCCTCTGGTTATGTCAAAATAGCTATGGAAAATGGCCATAGAAATAGTGAGTTTTCCCATGAAAAATGGTGGATCTTTCCATAGTTATGTGAACGTTTACTAGAGGGTACATGACAGGACGGTTGTTTTTTGGGATTTGTCATGGGAGATCACTAAACAAAATAACAATAGTTTGGTTTTTGATTGGGATTTTGTTGCAGAGATATGAAATATGGTGATATGAAATGGAAGATAATCGAAAAAGAATCGTAACAAGTTGTTTATCCTGATCAGAAACATGGCTAGTATCTTTTTCATGGTGATTGGTCACTGAAAAATGTGTGTTTAATGTGTTTAACGTTCATGACCACAAAACCACCAGTATTCCATCTTGACCTATACCCGAAAATGATCTGGGATATGACATAAAGAAATGGAAATGAGAAATGGAGATGTTCATCTCTCAATGATTACGCTCAAAATAGCAATCCGAATTTTGTAGAGAAATTCTACCGTTCTTTGGTTTCAGTGAAATGTCGTAGCAAACCATTTACATATTCTTCCAGTTTTCCTATGTTTTCCTGATCTGGTACCGACCTAAAACATCCCAGAACTGCGTTGTCGGGTTCCCATCCACAGTTCCCTTTAGCTGAATACCAACTTCTCCCAACACCGTAGATACAAAGGTAGATACTGCGGCAAAATTCCACATGTCCCACCAAACATAACAATCGTTTGGTTTTTAATAGGGATTTGTAGGGATATGTGATAAAAGATCACCAAAAAAACATAACAAGTTATTCATAGTGCTAATCATTACCCTCTGGTAAACTAACATAACTATGGAAAATCGCCATTTTTAGCGGGTAAATCCACTATAAATCACCATGTTCAATAGCTTTTTGTATGTTTACCAGAGGATAAATTAGTTGAATCCCGTTGTGCCTTTCTTCTCAAGGTTGAAACCCGACATCTACCACTGCATGGATTACCATGCCGCGTTGGCTCCGTTATATCTGGAGGCTGGGGGGTTAAGGTTCTATGGCGATGATAGGGATAGTGATAGTGGTTTACTGCCGCTGAAACCCATGATTTTCGGCTCCCCAGCTCCCCCTGTGGGTCCGTGCTGCTTCACGGCATCCCAGGTCGCCTTGAAGTCGTCCCATTCCTTGGGGGTACGAGTCCAACCAGCGGATTCGGATGCCAAAAAGAAAAAACAAATTACCCAACATCCAGGTTTGGTAAATCAATTTTTCCCATTTTTTTCGAACATCCTCAGATATTTTTAGTGATGACCAAAAAGCAAAAAAAATGGACGACAAAAATTGGGTGATTGTCAAGCCTCTGAGACCTCTAAGTGTTATCAAAAAAAAACATCTTTGGAGGGTAAGGCTTTTGGCATTTCTTGGAAGATTCGACAGTTGGAAAAAAAACCCTATGGGCCCCACAACCCAGCAAAACTACTTGGAACCCCCCTCCCCCATGCCATGTTGGATGCCGTGGCTCATCAATGAGGTGTCCATTCAGTTCGATGATGCGATCTCCTGGAATGCACCCAAAGGATGAAAATCATGAGGAAAACAGGGTTTACCCTCTGGTAGTTTAACAGTTTTCTATGGAAAATGACCTGTTTATAGATGCTTTATCAAACATTGCGATGGATAATGCACCATTTATCGATGACTTTCCCATTTGAACGACCATTATTGGTAAATTTCCCATGGCCGTATTTGTTTACAGGAGGTATATAATTGATAAACGATAGTTGGTGGATGTTGACTATCTTTGGTGGATGTTTAAACCGCACAGAAAGGGTTCCCCATGTGCCAGGGATAAGTTGGCTCCGTCCTCTCATTCACATCATCTATTCGCATCCCATCCCCCACTCAAAGCCAATCTTGGAGACCCAAGACAAAAAAAAATCGGCTTAGAAATAGATCATTCAAAATGTGAAAGATTGAAGTATACTTAGTGTACTTCTACATTCAACTACCCATCCAGTTGCTTTCCCCGGTTTTTTCCATGCTCCCCCAGTTGCTTTCCCAGGGTGAAACTGCCCATCTTTGAGGCTGAAAAATCCCTGTCCTAACTGCCAGCCGAAGTGTTCGCTCTTGCGATGAATGGACACCACCATGAGGCCACGCTGATCTTCATCGGCATCATCCAGCCCTAGCAGCGAAATATTTTTGGGTCAAAATTGAAGACCTGGGGGTACCACAGATGGATCTGATGGACTTAGTTAGTTTATTTCTAATATTAACCATCTAATGATTGGCGTACCCAAGTTTGACCCATACCCAGTTGGAGTTTGGATTAACTGAAGAGAAGAAACTCTAAGGTTCGAAATTTTGAATCAAAAAAATGATATATCTTGCCCTTGTAGGGTATACAGGTCATTCCGGATTTTTGTGTCTGTCTCAACTGCTTTAAAAACATGTTGGAGGTGAGTGAAGTGGAATGGCAGACATTCAGGTTGCGGGGCGAATCTACAGGACATCTCTCAGACATTTCTTCGGCCCCCAAACTTCAGCGTCTCAACCCCAAAAGCAATGCCAAACACATATTAAATGATATGCCTATGGATCGATGAAGGGGTACCTTGATCTTCAAACCAAATTTTACTGTCTCTGCTTTGGCTGGATGTGGTTGTGGGTCAAACAGAACTATGTTCTTGCTGTTCACATCCTTAAAGTGTTACCAGAACAATTTTGTTTGGGATGGTTCTTCATCTACCCAAAAATGGGGAACATTGGATCATGATCATTCAAAAAATGCAAACCTAAAAATTAGACATTACATCCTACAAGTAAACCCATCCTAGACTGACTCCCCTGTGATACTACCACCGTGCTATAGCCAACGCTACACCCCTGCAGGGCCTAAACCCAGCGTTCCGTCCGGCAGCGTCTCGGGCACGTGGATGTGCACCTGAGAGGGCGATTGGGTGGGGGTGTCGTCCGCATCCTTGTCGAGCCAAGGTGTCATGGCTGGGCTGCAAAACCGAAGGAAGATGGTGATAAATCAGTAACGACAATAACAAAATCAATAACAATAACAACACCAACAACAATAGTAACATGTTGTTCAAATTGCAATAAATACTGATCATTTCCTTTCAAAAAGGTTGAGTTTTCATCCTCCGAAGCTTCGCCCAGGCACGTTGGGTTTCTCCTTCGGTAGCCGAGCCCGGCGGCTCTTCTTGCGCTTGGCGCGCAGCAGCCGCTGCACCTCGGCACGGGCCGAGAAAGGTCCGAAAGCTCTACGCCCTACTTGTTTCCAAAACCATTTTGGGCAAACAGTCAAGCACCTGCAGCAACTTGAGAATCTGCGGATTCTGCTCTATCTTTAGTTTCTGCTGATTCGGAAACTAAGATTCGGAAACTAAGAAACGTGGATTCGGAAACTCAACTTATCCTCGTGGACAGTCCAAGTCAAATTGAAGTTCCATGGGGGTGGGAATTTTGATATCATCTTATCCTTGTGGACAGTCCAAGTTCAACTTGAAGTTCCATGGGAGTGGGAATTTTGATATCATCTTATCCCTGTGGACTGTCCAAGTCAGTTTGAAGTTCCATGGGGGTGGGAATTTTGATATCATCTTATCCTTGTGGACAGTCCAAGCCAATTTGAAGTTTCATGGGGGTGGGCATTTTGATATCATCTTATCCTTGTGGACAGTCCAAGTCAATTTGGAGTTCCATGGTGTAGGAATTTGATATCATCTTATCCTTGTGGAAAGTCCCAGTTAATTTGAAGTTCCATGGGGGTGGGAATTTTGATATCATCTTATCCCTGTGGACAGTCCAAGTCAATTTGAAGTTCCATGGGTGTGGGAATTTTGATATCATCTTATCCTTAGTTTCTGAAGCTCGACCGTTTCTGAAGCGTGATAGTTTCTGAATCGTGATCGTTGAATCGCGATAGTTTCTGAATTGCGATAGTTTCTGAAACCTAGATGCTGAATCGCGATAGTTTCTGATTCGTGATAGTTGCTGATTCGCGATAGTTTCTGAATGGTGATAGTTTCTGAATCGCAATAGTTTCTGAATCGCGATAGTTTCTGAATCGCGATAGTTTCTAAACTGCGATAGTTTCTGAATCGCGATGGTTTCTAAATCGTAGGTGCTGAATCGCGATAGTTTCTGAATCGTGATAGTTTCTGAGTCGGTGGAACTAGTTTCTGAACCGTGGTTTCTGAATTGTGATAGTTTCTGAATCGTAGTTTCTGAATCGCGATAGTCTTTGAATCGTGATAGTTTCTGAATCGTGATAGTTTCTGAATCGCGATAGTTGCTGAATCGCGATAGTTTCTGAATCGTAGTTTCTAAATCGCGATAGCTTCTGAATAGTTAATTTTGCACCGTGGGCTTGGAAGAATATGATAGCTCTGCGCCACCAGAAAAAAATTGCGGCACGTTTTATTTTGAGCGAATCACCCTCAAGGTGCGCGCGGGCTCGACCGGATGCAAAGGCGTCTGGTGTAGGGCTTTCGCCGCAAAGCGACCTAAACATTCCTTCTGCTAATTGCTTTTTGGCTCTTCGGCCTTCAGCTCCTTCTAAATCTTTGCTTTGCGCTCCTGAAGGACACGTAGATTGAAATTGAGAGCAGATGATATGCTGAGGGGCCTATCAGCAGCCACAATACGAACTATGCGTTCGAAAACACCTACATGCATGTCTTGCTTGCATTGACCCGTTGCCGCCCCGATGACACACTTTTGCCGCGCTCCTTGCGCTTCTTCAGCTCGCTGTCGGCTTTGGCCTTCGGGTGACCTTCACTCAGACCGCTTTTGGACGCTCAGACGCCATTTCGCGTGGCGGCGCGAGGGATTCGGTACCTTGCCTAAAGTGAGCAAAACGTGAGAGTTTTGTTGCAGTTTCAAAAACGTAGGCAGGCGTGGGACATTTGAAGAGGATCTGCAAAGATGCATGTCGCGTGGCAGGCGCAGTACAAGAGACATGTTCATCAGAGATGTTAGGAGGTCAGGGTGCTGATTTCCTGAGAGGGTTGCATTTTGGAGCATCAGATCTTCAGGTTTGCTAAGATTATTTTTGCATGACAGATGCAGCACTTCGTGTGACCTGGCTTCACTTTTTCGGGGCAGACGCAATACTTTGGACAGATGGAGCGGAAAAAATCGCAAAACGCATTGGTACGAGGCCGTCAGCTCTGCAGTCAATGTTCCATATCTGAAGGAAGTCTCGCAGAATTGCTTCGTTTTTGATGTTGTCAACTTCGAACTTGAGGAAGTCTCGCTGAATTGCTTCGTTTTTGAAGTTGTCAAGTTCAAAAATTGCTTCGTTTTTGATGTGGTCAACTTCGAAAATTACGGAAGTCTCGCAGAATAGCTTCGTGTTCAAGCTTGCAGGTAGACAGACAGACAGACCGACAGACAGATAGATAGACAGACAGACAGACAGATAGAAAGACAGATACATAGACAGATAAACAGATAGATAGATTGACAGATAGGCAGATAGATAGATAGAAAGATAGATAGATAGATAGATAGAGAGATAGATAGACAGATAGACAGGTAGACAGATACACAGATAGACAGATAGACAGATAGAGAGATAGAGAGATAGATAGATAGGTAGATAGATAGGTAAATAGATAAAAGATAGGTAGATAGATAGATAGATAGATAAATAGACAAATAGATAGATACAAAGACAGATAGATAGAATAGACAGACAGATAGACAGATAGATAGACAGATAGATAGACAGATAGATAAAAAGACAGGTAGAAAGACAGATAGGTAGACAATTGGATAGATAGAAAGACAGATGGATAGATAGACAGAGAGAAAGACAGATAGATAGCACAACAGTCCAACCACTTTTCGATCCATCAGTGGGTTCGCTCTGCCATCCGTGATTCACAACAACCAACCTCTGCTATAGGTTTCCTATCTTTGAAACTTCCGCCGGTACTACTGGTAATAAATACCATCCAAAATGCTGACTTTTTGCAGGTTGATACAACATGATACAACCCAAAAAAAAATCGAAAAAAATGGAGAAAACAAAACTTGTTGGGGGAATGGTATACTATTGGGTTTACACCCCATGACCCAACATGGCCAACAGCGCCACCCGAGATTCCACGGATCCCCCGCTGGAGTCAAGGTGTTGATGTCAGCGTCGCAGAGGCCTCCAACACCCATGACTAATGGGACGTTTATACCACCTATTGATGGTGAGTCATTGGGGGTTGATGGCATTGTTTTACACTTACAATCAAATGTGAACAGGTGATTTCTAGATGTTCCCAATTTCCGGTAGAACGTTCATACTGCCGAGAAAGTAAACCTTGCCCTACAGCGTGCCTTCCGGGTCGTCATCATCCTCTTGAGCCGCCTGCAGGGTTGCACGTCATTGGGTTATGCACGTGAAGATCACGGTTTGAACATGTTTGATCGATGAAAAATGGTGGTTTTACCATCAAAAGTAGGGAGTTGACCCCTGAATTTAACTTTTGATTAATGAAAAATGGAGGTTTTACCATCAAAACTAGGAAGTTGACCACGGAATCATGGATTTGGAATATGTTGAAACAAAAGGAGAAAGAAACAGCAGCTGGGATGCCATGGTATGACCCCCAACCATTGGGAGGCAACCAATGGTGGCTTCCGGCAGGACTTTGCTCGTCACCAACGATCACGAATATAATCACCCTACAACCATGGTCAGCAATGACCAATGATCATCAACAAGCATCATCAATAATCATCCCTTAAGAATCTATCCTCCTAACCCATCAAAAATATTTAAAAAAAAAAAAACAACATCAATTCTCCTTCAACCCATCACAAATCACCAAAAACAAACAGCAATTTGTGTATCGATGATCATCCTTTACCCATCCATAATCAATGATCCTCAACTCACCAAACATAAAGATAAACCATAATCACACTATTCCCAAACCCATTCAAAAGAGGAACATCAAAACTGACCCCCAACCCCAAGAAACAATCAATAATCATCAATCATCGTCCTTCACCAATCGATTATCAATCTTCCTAAACTCATTTATAAAAAAAAAACATGATTCAGCTGTCCTGCTCATCCTCGCTGTCAGGATCTTCCTCAATCGGCTGCGCTTCCCGCAAGACCCGATCCTCCGGCAGCACGTCCTGCGGCGCCAGGTTTGGCCATGATGGATCTACCTGGTGAAACCATGGGAAAAATGGGCAAAAATTGGGGGAGTTATCTCAATTTGAGCCAATTTAATCAGAAAAATGATGATCAACCATGGGAATTTCAGTTCTATGCCTAGTTTAGTCTGCATCCTGGATACACCTGAAAGAGGAGTTATCTTTTTGTTTCCCAGGCGGATTCCTCAAAACCAAGCTCTACCCAGAAAATGTGCCACAGCCTTACACTTTCATTTTTCCCTTCTAAGGATTCTATTTTGCGTGTCAACGATGCCACTGACCGAGAATTCCATCCCTTCAGAGGTCCTTCTGATCCTTGAACATCTTGCGGAAGGGGTTCTCGTCTTCGCTGTGCCAGATCCTCAGAACACACACAGGAATCCTTGGGCCAACTGCCAACTGCTGAACGGTTATTAGTTTCACCTTCCGATTTAAGATCTAAATATATCTAAATTGTGGTTCACCCAATATTGGTTATGAATAATATGGTCCTGGTTGGTGGTTTCAACCCCTCTGAAAAATATGAAAGTCAGTTGGGATGATGAAATTCCCGATATATGGAAAAATAATCCAAATGTTCCAAACCACCAACCGGGATCTAAAGGTCCAAATATTCAATAATCAATATACTCTCCAGTAAATTAACATAGACCCTGGCAGTCATCGGGCTTGGAAGATTAGTGAAACCACTACAAATTGGTGATTTTCAGGGTCAACAACTTTATTTACCAGAGGGTATCTATAATTTATAATCAATTATCAACTAATATTAATCAATTATAATCCAATAATAATCAATATTCAATATTCAATATCAATAATCAATAATCAATAATTACAATTCCAAATATTCAATAATCTCAATCTTAATCAATATATCAATCTATAATTTGTCCATAAAACCCCCATCAAACTCCTCCAGGTTTTTCCCCAGGTCCCCGGGCTCGCGACAGCACTCGATACCCTCCTGCCATTTCGTGGACGAGGCCGCCAAGGCCACCGCCTCGCCATTGAATCGGCGCGGGGAGGCGAAGGGGATCGGCTTGGGCCGGTCACGGAGATTTCCCATGGAAAATCCTGGGAAAAGTGGGAAATCGAACAGCAAAACTGTTGCGAAATTGCTAAATTTAGCTGGAATTCTTTGATTTTTTGAAACATGACTGGGAATGAAATTGCTGAAATCCCAAACATCTGGAAAATCGAACGTCGAACTTGGTGTGATCTTGGCATCTTTAAAACAAATGACACTGTGGATTCGATAGAGTGATATTAGATGTGGGTCGGAAAGGAGCAGCTCGTGGCTTCTGGATCCTCGATCTATGCCAGATCAGGGTCGGTGAACCAAATTTAGGAAACCTCAAATTCTCCCGATGTTCCTACCCCAAAGTGTCCATCCAAAATTGTCACAGCCTTCTTCTGATCACGGGTCTTTTCATCCTGCCACCGCTCAAGACCTCGGCATCTGCTTGCTGGCTACTGAAAAGATTGTTGAGGATTATGCTTATTCCACTCCACCTACTGCACTAAGCATTTTGTGTACATTTCAGTAAAGACTCCAGGGGTTGCAACCCCCAACCACGACTGCCATGAGCTCGCCACATTCAAAGAGAGTATCTTCCAAGCACCGAATGTATCTCCCCGCCTCGATGTCGGAACAAGGCACGGATGGGAAGCAATAGATTCATGACAGCGCAGAAAAGCAATGCAATGCATGCTCTATTAGTATTATGAGTGAGACTGTTAGTTTCACTTGTACTGCATTCAATACCGCAGATGTTTGAATGATTCGGTCAATGCCTCCTCTTTGAAAGCAGCACCAGGGTACGATCCTATTCTTACAATGTGGGGCCTCCTAAATAGCTAAGTTAGGTAAACATCACTCCAATATCTATGGTTTAGGATACTTACAAGTATTAGTTGATGGGGATAATGTGTTCAGGGGTTCAAAAGCTGAGAATATATAATCATATCAACTTGATCCAAAGAAAACGCCTGTTGAAACCCGAGGCTTGTGATCATGCGCTTGCTGGGAACTGCGAAATGCGCTGTTCATTGCTTGTAGTTTCAAGAGGCAGTTCAAGAGTGTGGCTGAGTGCCCCAGATTTCTTTCGATATTATTGTAGGTCAAAACCCTGTACCTTTCATGAACATCCCGAGCATATCAAATAGCCTCTTTGGGGATGTTCATCAACCATAACTTTGGGTCGATTGCTATTGAGCCACAGCCAAATTGAATCCCATCCCCTTCATATCAAACAAAATGAATAGATCCAATGCTTAAAACCAGGATTTAAGCTCATTTTGTCTACGAAAAAACAGCACCTCCTTGCCTCTGCCCCGCTCATGTCCTCGGTCCCATCTGAGTTGTCCCTGCCACGTCGTAGCTGGACTTGGAGATGCTTCGGGCCAACAACCTCGGTGAAACAGCGATGGCTTTCACATCGCGGCAGGGGGCAGCTATTCGGATCTTTCCTCCCAGGTGTGGTGAAACATCTCGAAAATCCATCAAAACACCGTGGGCATTTTACATCTATGCCTCCATAGCTGAAAAAAATCCATGGAAACTGCTAGTGTAATCTGTGAGTAAGACAATGGTTGCAGCCTGCTACCATAATCCATGCAAACGGCTACTGCAATCCAAAGAATGGTTGCACCTGCCATTTTCCCACAGCTGTGGAGCTGGCTGCAAGACTTTCTTCATGAAGGTCTTGATCCTGGTGGTGTAGATGGAGCCCGCGGTCTCACCTGGCATGGACGACTCTTGATCCGTCATGACGGAGCTGGTGGGATCATCTGGCTGAATAAATGGCAAGTTTTATGGGGATAATAGTGATTGTCCTGTGGATTTAGGGGTATCTTACTTTTTCAAACAAACCCATGAACAAATTCTATCAAAATCTCTGGTGCTCTCTAAGTGTGACAGTTTGACCCAGACATACCCAAACCATCCCAAAAGCATGCCATGACGTGGGCTACGTTGCAATGGGCCATGACTTCCACCCCCTTTGTCGACCTCGTCCGAAGTCGATCATCAACGGCTCGCCGCTCTCGCGGTCCACCAGGATGTTCTGAATGGGGTCGACGATCATCACGTCGTGCCTCTGACGGGCCGAAGATCGGAGAGGCTGGCCCCTCTCGAAGTGTCAAAAAAAATGGCCGTGTTTGTTTGCAAGGAACAAACAAGACCCCAACTCCTGACTTTGTCCAGACGGTCTTCATCCCTACACGATACTACGTAGCAACTCTTTCTTGAAATCAAACTGCATCCAGCACGCTCAAAAAAAACACATGTTCTTCAAGAAACCACCAGCTTCAACTATAGCAACCCCCCCGCAGGCACAGGCCAGGCCGCCTGATCATCGACATCATCATCCGAATGACCTGTTTGGCCTTGTGCAAAACACCAGCGACGGGGCATCTCCCATGTGCAGTTGGGATGGATCTTCCTAAGACTCAAGAGTGGGTATCCCGAAAAATGAGATTAAGTTATTTGCTTCATGCTGGAAAGACAACCACAATCCCAGGTTTCCAGTGTTCAGGATCTCAAATTTCCAAATCCGACCCATACGCAAATGTCCATGTGTAAGGACTGAATGGTGTCTTCAACCTGTCCCCTTTGGAAACTATGAACGAGGTGGTCAAGCTTCACATCTCCGATGGTGGAGGTCTGCTGAGTCCCTGGGCTGAATGCCGCGATCTGGAGTAGTCCGACCTCCACCACTACGCAAAGTGCCGCAGCCCCGGCTGAATCGCGCAAAGCGTACAATGTCCATCTCCACGGAAAAAACAGCAAGAAGATCAAAAAAGATCAAGTCATCTTGAAATTGGCACAGACTTACAGTATCTTACAATTAAGTCAAGTATCTTCACCAAAGAGAAAGATCCTATTTTCCAACAAGCCATGGTCTGCAGTCGCTTCAGCCACGGTCTGAGTGCCGGGGCCAACCCTTCCGAACCAGGTCGACTCGATCCACCTGCAGAGGTGGACAGGTACAACCCTTGGAAATCTAGTGGCTGGAACTGGAACCCCCAAAGTATCCATGTTTCAAATGATGCTCCAAAACTTGTTCCAAGTCAAACTTCAAAGGGATGTCATCTTGAAAGTTGGCTGGTTGTAAGTAGGGAATGGCCGATTGCTGATTGCCTGCAATCTAGCACAAGCGCAGCAAAGTGCATCCCTTTTTTGTGAGGCCAGAAAGCGCTTCTGGAATGCTTCTTCGGTCAAGGACATAGCACTCATCAATTTCTCGGTTCGGCCCTGCTCCGACAGCAAATGCAAACGGTACTCAAGCCGGTGCCGGCTGTAACCAAGAATCACTGGCCACCGTGCGATCAGCTCTGTGGTCTCCCTGACTGTGAGACATGATTGCAGCACCCTCACCTTGCAAGCAAGGTTGTCAATGCTCAGGCCAAGAATTTGAGGAAAGGAAGCCACTGCCTTCGCAGCCTGACTCTGCGTCAATCCCAAGTCTAACAGCCACTGCACAGTTGGTTTCATGTTCTGATCGATGTTATAGCAAAGCATTCGAACATAATAAGCCACTGCCTTTGCAACTTGACTCTGCGTCAGCCCCAAGTCCAAGAACCACTGCACAGTGGGTTTCAAGTTCTGCTCGATGCTAAGGCCAAGAATTTGAGGATGAGTGACCACTGCCTTTGCAACTTGACTCCGCGTCAGTCCCAAGTCCAAGAACCACTGCACAGTGGGCTTCAAGTTCTGCTCAATGCTAAGGCCAAGAATTTGAGGATGAGTAACCACTGCCTTTGCAACTTGACTCCGCGTCAGTCCCCAGTCCAAGAACCACTGCACAGTGGGTTTCAAGTTCTGCTCGATGCTAAGGCCAAGAATTTGAGGATGAGTGACCACTGCCTTTGCAACTTGACTCCGCGTCAGTCCCAAGTCCAAGAACCACTGCACAGTGGGCTTCAAGTTCTGCTCAATGCTAAGGCCAAGAATTTGAGGATGAGTAACCACTGCCTTTGCAACTTGACTCCGCGTCAGTCCCCAGTCCAAGAACCACTGCACAGTGGGTTTCAAGTTCTGCTCGATGCTAAGGCCAAGAATTTGAGGATGAGTGACCACTGCCTTTGCAACTTGACTCCGCGTCAGCCCCAAGTCCAAGAACCACTGCACAGTGGGCTTCAAGTTATGCTCGATGCTAAGGCCAAGAATTTGAGGATTAGTGACCACTGCTTTCGCAACTTGACTCCGCGTCAGCCCCAAGTCCAAGAACCACTGCACAGTGGGTTTCAAGTTCTGCTCGATGCTATAGCTGAGAAATTGAGGGTGAGTGACGACTGCCTTCGCAACTTGACTCAATGTCAGCCCCAAATGTGATAACCACTGCAGTAACGGCTGTAGAGTCTTTTCTATGGAGAGCCTGCGGATCAGAACTTGCTCGTAGATCCGATCAATGTGAGCCTGTCCAAACCCCTCCGCATTTAAAAAATTGACAATCTCTTCTGTCGTGCTGCCTTTTCCCTGAATCAAAGCTGCCTCGCGGTATTCTTGGGCAGCTCTGGATATCACAAACAGCCCCTTGTTTGACAAGTGTTTTTCAAAACGTTTGCACACGCCTGGATGCAAGGCATGTTGAAGTCTCGACACGGTCTCTTGAAGAACATTCTTTAAAGTCTTTGTAAAGGACTTGTGATCTCCTCTACGCCAAGTGCTAACACCCACCCACAAGACATTTTCCTCCAGACGACACCTGTCGTCATGGTTTATTCTTACCACATACGATCCCGGAGGTGCCAAGGCGAGCAAAGCCAAGCTTTTCCGTCGATCTTGCACGATGCCTTCCTTTTCCGCATGACGCCAATACCCATCATACTCCACAAACAGAGCTGTTGCCTCATCCTTCAGCACACCATGAGCTGTCAAATCTGGCTCCAAGTAGTTTCCACCCCACCCTGCCGGAGATTGGAAGCTACGAAACAGCTCTGTCACCGGCACGCCAGGCATCAGCAGTTCCCCCAAAGGCGCCAACAACTCCGCTTCAGCCACGCTGCCAGCACGTTGTCGTGCCCATCCTTGTTGCCACCATGTTGGTGGACTGGATCTTGGTACCAACCCACTGTAACAAGTCCTCTGCACTCCCCAGAGGCAGAGGCACACGGCATACATCAGGCAGCATCTTGGGAACACTTTTTGAAGCAACATGGGTTTCGGCTTGGGGACCAGTGCGGCCATTTTCACCGCAGATGTTTCCTGAGCCGCCTCGAGTGGCAACAGAACGGTTCGTGCTTTGGAACCTGCAAGAAAGCTTGAGACAGATCATTGCGATGCCTTGTCCGGTAGAAGAAGGACCTAGTTTGCATGCCCATGACTTTTGAATGAGATGCTAAGCGCTATACAACTACTTGTGATTCATGCGCATTGTGAATGCGTTGGATATCACACAGCAACAAAAAGCATCAAGCAGCCACACATTGGCAACATAATCAGCTTCCTATTGGTTTTGCCCAATCCCAAGGAACAATCCCCGGCAGGGACTCCCTAATCTAAACACTTGCATGGCCCAGACGGATTCCGGGGCCTGACTGACACCGTCGCATTGGTTGTAAGGGATCAATGCTTCAGGCAGGTATGGCCAGCTGACGATGAACCTCAATTTGCAGCTCAAAGTCTAGTGAGTCTCTGAAAGCCTTGTCTGGGTTGTTTCCACAAGGGGAACAACACAACACCACAAACTCCTGCAAATTACATTCTGATTCAGAGATAAATGAAGATTCAAGACTTCAGTTTGAAAACAGAAAACGGACCCCCCAAACCTTTCCAACTCGCAACGCTTGAATATATCAGTGTCAGTAAACCTCTCAAACTTGGACACGACCTTCAGATGGTCGTGGCAGATCGAGGCATCTCCAAGGCCGGGGCTCGTTGTTGGGCCCCACTTCCACCAGCTTCTGCACGTTCGGCAAACGCCTCGGGCAGGACATCTGGCTGATCCAACCGGGTGGTGGTCTTCAACGGAGACCCTGGTGATTACAAAGACAGGTTGTGAAGCAGAAATTTAAAACAGGTCCAAAACATGTTCAACATGCGGCTTCTGTTTTGGACCTTTGGTGAACCCTATGTGTCAAAACGGGGATGAGTCCAAATTGAAGCCCTATACAACCACATATTTTAGTTTATGTTGAAATATTGACCATCTGATTATTGGGGTACCCAATTTTGATCTATGCCCAAATAGAGATCCAGAAACCCCGGAAAGCAACACATCAGAAACAACTGCCAAGGTCTGCTGAGCTTCCAGGCAGTTGAGACACCAAGCTCAAACATCTGGCCTCCGTGGCGTGGTGGCGTCAGATTTTCTACATTTGGGATGTGGAACAACGACTCTGAAAAGACCATAAGCCAGCACTACTCACCACACCATGTCCAACATCACTAGAATTCAGAGCAGCAAGAGACATCAAACATGATCAACTGCAGAAGTATGCCAAACAGATCCAACCGTCAGTACATCATGTATAATTACGAAGTATTATAAATCGATCCATACAACCCTTCCCAATCAACTCCCAACCCACTCACACTGATTTCTCATTGCATTAGGACCACCTCCCTGCTGCCTCCGTCTGGAAGGCCATGGGAATGGTGATGCGCTTCGGCCTCGGGCTGCTCCCAACGAATGACAACTCCCCCCTTGTGGCTATGATTCACCTACAACACGGTTGGAGCAACAGGATTAGTAGTAAATGGATTTCCGAGTTAGAAAAATGGTGATTAGTAGTCAGTAGACCATGCAGTTTTTTTCCTCGACACCAAGCCGAGGTCGTCGCTTCCGGGGCGGCACGGGATGTTGCACCCTGGCGCAGAGCTGTGAGACCGAGACATCTTGGGGGCCGGTGGGGTGCTGATTGAAGCCCTTCTCACGGCATGGCGACACTCGGCTGGATGAATTACCTGTCACAAACACGGCTAGACTTGGCTGCGCCTGCCTTGATCACCTAGTCTCCTGCAACATCTACAACTTCCAAGTGGAATGACACCCAACTCTGTGGGAAAAGAAAGCAAGCAACCCATCATGTACCCACACATTCACCATCTTTTTGGCCAGCTAAGAAGCGCCGGTGAAATGTTTCTTCGTCGAGCCTCATCGCACTTCTCAGTTTCTTAAGGCTGTTCTGCTCTGCCAGAACATGCAAACGTCGCTGCAGTCGCTCATGGCTGTTGAAAAAGACACGCGGCCACATGGCGATCAGCTTTACAGCATCTGTCGGTGCATAAAAGGACAGTAAAAGATCAAAATTCAAGGCAAAGTTCTTCTCAATGCTGAGGCTAAGAATTTGAGGAAAATCCACCACTGCATCGGTAACTTCACTTTTGCTCAGTCCCAAGTCCAACAGCCACTGCACTTTGGGTTCCAAGTTCTGCTCAACGCTAAGGCCAAGTATTTGAGGATGTGAAGACAATGCTTTGGTGACTTGATCCTGCTTCAATCCCAAGTCTAGCAGCCACCAAATAGTGGGCTTCAAATTTTGCTCAACGCTGCAGGAAAGAATTGGAGGAAATCTGGCCACGGCCTTTGCAACTTGACTCTCCGTCAGCCCCAAATCCAAGAACCACTCCACACTAGGCTTCAAGTTTTGCTCGAGGCTAAGGCCGAGAATTGAGGGATGAGTGGCCACTACCTTCGCAACTTGATCTTTCGTCAACCCTAAGTCCGACAACCACTGCACGGTTGGTTTCAAGTTCTGCTCGATGCTAAGGCCGAGAATTGAAGGATAAGTGGCCACTGCCTTCGCAGCCTGGCTCTTTGTCAGTCCCAAGTCCGACAACCATTGCACTGTGGGTTTCAAGTTTTGGTCGATGCTGAGGCCGAGAATTGAAGGACAAGTGGCCACTGCCTTTGCAGCCTGGCTCTTTGTCAGTCCCAAGTCCGACAACCATTGCACTGTGGGTTTCAAGTTCTGCTCGATGCTAAGGCCAAGAATTGGAGAATAAGTGGCCACTGCCTTCGCAGCCTGGCTCTTTGTCAGTCCCAAGTCCGACAACCATTGCACTGTGGGTTTCAAGTTTTGGTCGATGCTAAGGCCGAGAATTGGAGGATGAGTGGCCACTGGCTTCACAGCCTGGCTCTTTGTCAGTCCCAAGTCCGACAACCATTGCATTGTGGGTTTCAAGTTCTGCTCGATGCTGAGGCCGAGAATTTGAGGAGAGGTGGCCACTGCCTTGGCAACTTGACTCTTTGTCAGTCCCAAGTCCAACAACCACTGCTCAGTGGATTTCAAGTTATTCTCGATGCTGTAGCCTAAAATTTGAGGATGAGTGGCCACTGCCTTCGCAACTTGGCTCTTTGTCAGTCCCAAGTCCGTCAACCATTGCATTGTGGGCTTCAAATTCTGCTCAATGCTAAGGGCGAGAATTGGAGGATGAGTGGCCACTGCCTTCGCAACTTGGCTCTTTGTCAGTCCCAAGTCCGACAACAATTGCATTGTGGGTTTCAAGTTCTGCTCGATGCTAAGGCCGAGAATTTGAGGAAAAGTGGCCACTGCCTTCGCAGCCTGGCTCTTTGTCAGCCAGGTGTCTAGGAACCATTGCACTTTGCACTTCAAGTTCTGCTCTAAGCTATACCCCAGCATGCTAGGATGTGAAGCTACTGCCTTTGCAGCTTGACTTTTTGCCAGCCCCAAGGACAACAGCCATTGCAGCTTGGGCTGCAGATTTCCATTAATAGATACCCCAGCACGTAAAGCTGTTGCTTGTATGATCAGGCTGACGTCCTTGCTTGCAAACCCCTCTGCACGGAGGAATTGGTGAACTTCCTCTGCCGTGCTGCTCCCACCGACGAGTACAGCTGCATCACGGATTTCCTTGGCAGATCTTGAGATTGACACTGACTCACTCTTGATCTGCCCGCGCAAATCCTGAGATGTTCTGAGATCCAAGGCATCTTCGAGCCCAAATGCCACTTTTTCTATCACATCGATCAACGCCGCTGTAAGCGACTTGTGATCTCCTTGGCGCCAGATATTCACAGCCACCCATAAGACATTCTCTTCCAGCTGGCACTTGTTCCAGTGGTTGATTCTGATCACATAGGATCCAGGAGGTGCGAATGCCAATAGAGCTGCATTCTTCATGCGATCCCTTGCAAGACCTTCCTTTCTCCCATGACGATAGTAGCCATCATACTCTAGAAACAACGCTGCAGTCTTGTCTTTCAGCACACCATAAGCTGTCAAATCCGGCTCCAAGTAGTGCCCACGCCAAGCCGCCGGAGATTTGAAGCTCCGAAACATCTCTGTCACCGGCACGCCAGGCATCAGCAGCTCCCCTAAAGGCGCCAACAACTCCGCTTCAGCCACGCTGCCAGCACGTTGACGTGCCCATCCTTCTTGCCACCATGTTGGTGGTCTGGATTTTGGAACCAACCTACTGAAACACCTCCATTGCATTCCCCAAATACTGCGCATCGCCTAAGCGACACTTGAGTCGGAACAGCTTTGACGCAAAACCATCTCGAGGCAAAACAGAATGCTCACCATCTGGTGAAGTGCTGCTGCTTAAAATGACTGCCCTGAAGGCGTTGAAAGGCTTTGAAAAGCATGTAATGCCCACTCAGTGACTACATGATTTCAGCACTTCAATTCGAATCTGCATGTATATCCAGCTTCCAAGTTGTTCTCATTCACAGATCACGCAGTCTTACTAGCTCCAGTAGGAGTGAGTCCTACCCTAACAGGACTGAGTTGAGGAACATCATCCCTTCGCTCAGCAAAACCAGGTCGGGAGGGCTTCAGCACCATGAGATCGGAACCTGAAGTCAGCTGGAGGGCTGGAGTCCCTGGAAGCCCCTGGATCTAAAAGAGGAAATGTCAGCTGGTGTGTTGCTCGTTCTTTGTCCCCACCAACTATCAAATTTCCGGTGAAGAAATTTTCGATTCCCTGGTAAAGCAAGACAGCTGAGCCTTGCCACCACTACTTCTCCCTACTGTCAGAAATGTGGGAACCCAACAAGCAAACAAGTTCGTGCCAGCGTCTACATTTACACTTGGACCTGCAGCAACAGTACCTGTCCGGATATGGTTTCTCACGTCGCGGACATAAACCACTATGACTCTATGACCATGAACAGGGTGAATTGACAATCCCCAACTTTGTGGCTTCTGCATCAAACTGACTCTGTTGGGACATTCACCAAACTCGTTTCTGGATAGTTTTGGAAAGTGTAGTTGTCACCCACAGCCATTTCTGCGTCACCTCCCACCCTGCCAAGCTCCCGCGCTCCGTTCGGGATCTGCCAACAAGTTCTCGTAGGCTTGGTGGATGCGTCGGAATTCCAGCACCGCCTGCCACTCCAACGGACATCTGAAATGGCTCCGGGCTCCACCCTGGCCTCGTTGCTCTTGGGGGTGATTGAGTGATTGATATTGGATCGAGACCAGCACCCATTCACAAAAACAGACCTGAGTGATTTGACCCAATTGTTTGATCCACTTTGCGACAAACAAGTGGTTTTGGCTGATCGGCCAATTTCCGTGTCAACTGGTTCAGTCTTCCATCACCTCCTTTCCAATTGCGAGCCCTTTCACCAGCACCTGAATTTTCTGTGCCCAAATTATACAAATTATAACTATTCTAATCCTTCCCAAACCTGAGATCAACCCATCAATTCCAATCATTCTACTGTAATCATGTCCAAACCTTCCAAAAAGGACTCAATTATGGTTTCCAAGAATCATCCATGAAATATCCCCCTGGGGATCATAAAATGACGACGTCCGGATGAGGGCGACCGCTCCTGGTCGTGCTCGTCCTCCTTGACCTTGTCCGGGTGCCATCGTCTCGCAAGCCTCGAGGAAGCGATGGGGGGGTTCCAGTGCAAAAGATGGGTACTGAAATGAAACGTGGTATCTATGTGGTATATTGATGTATATTGTACATTATCATGGGATAATCATGATGGTATCTATAGTATCTATGTGATATCTATATCATCTATATGGTACACGCTGGGGATATAAAAATGCCATGAAGTGGTGTAATTATAGGATATGTGAGCTAAAGACTAAAGATCATAAATAAGTTTTGGGAAATGGGGAAAAGAATCTTTGGCTTCAAATGAAGCAGTCTTGACTTGTGGGAAGCTCCCAATGCCAAACCTTGCTCATTTCAATTCAAGTTGCTGTTTCCCCTATCAACCTCACGCTCCCTTGGGAGTATTGACCCACCCCGCCAGATGTGTTTCCCACAAACGGCCGAAGCCAGTCCAACCCCCAAGACCCATTGGCCTTCGGTATGCCTTGATGATGGTACTGCGATCCGATCCCCGCGCGATGTCCAAAACCTACAGGGAAGTTCTGACCCACGGCAGATCTCACGCTGATGCCACCAATTTCTGAGTCCTAGCAAATAGCAAAATTCTTCCCTGAAAATTTGGCGCCCCAAATTCCAGCACTATGGTCACTATGATTAGCCATTGAGTAACCCACCATTCATTCCCTATTACTTCGATGCCCAAGCACTGCACTCAAAGCCATTCACAGCCATACCCGCCTGATGTGGATCTTCCTCATCTTGCTCCAGCACCTGGAACCAACGTCCCTGTTGAGCTTTGCAAATGACGTGTTTTTTGCACAGGTTAACCGGTTAACCAATCCATTTCTTACCCCAAAACCCCAAAAACATGGAAAAAAAACACTCCTAAGATCTAGGTGATCTAGCAACTTTCCATGGACTTTACCCCCCCTCCAGGGATTGATGGTGCTATGTAACCCCCTAAACAAAAGGTGCGACCCCCTGCCTGCTGCTTGGCGGAGTCCACCATCCGCAGCACGCGATAAACCAAGCCATAGTCCCCTGAGGCCACATAACGCACCTGGGCGGCTCTCAGCAGTTGGGGAATGGCGCAAAGGGAGGTTCTTGTGGTGAAAAAGGGCTTTTGGTATCTGAAAATCTTAGGAAAACCAACATGTTGATGGTTGAGAAAATGATATTTCTCTGGAGGGATGGAACCAAACAATATGTTCGGTGCACTTGTAAGGGTTTGGGGGTCTGAAAATGCTGGGAAAACCCACAAAGTTTGATGGTTTACCTTGAAAAATGACCCCAGTAGATGAGACTGTCTCCAAATGTTGGGAAAACACCCTGGAGTTGATGGCTTATAATCCCTTTCCCCATGAAAATTGCAAAATTGTGGGGTACCCCCCTTTGAAGGCAAATCCATGTGGCTTAACGCCAAAAAATTAAACCCACCCGGAGCAACCGCACAAAATAAACCCCTTCCGGGTGCCATAAGAACCTTCAAGTGAGAAGTATCACAAACTTCTGTCGGAATTCGCACCACTTTTGCCCATCTATGGTTCTTCAGCAAACTTCTTTCATCAACCATGGCCCATCACCAACCTTCCCAACTTCTTGCTCCACCCCTTCCGCAGAACTGGAACCATCCACCCACCCCAACAGCGCCAGATCCGCCTCCACGTACTTGTACATGGAGTCTGGTCCAGATGTCCACACCCGGCCGCCGGGGCGAACACGACCTGGGGATTCGCCACCAAGATATGGCCATTTGTTGCTGGGGAAATGCGGTGAGAATCAACCATGAAACGTGGAGATACCGGGATAGCAATTTGTTGCTGGGGAAATGAATGAAATGATGTAAGAATCAACCATGAAATTTGGGGATATTCCTATTTTTCAGACAAAGCCAACTGATGTTGGGAGGAAAGGACAACACGAAAATGCTTAGGTAACCATGCTTCCCTTAGATTCACCATTCAGAAGATGAGATCCAGGACCAAAATCGAGCAAAAATGAGGATATGCACGAATTAAAAACAAACAAAGTATTGTAATGTGGCAAATCTTGGAGACTATAGCTGGGTATCAGATTTTGCCTTTTTTATGGCAGAAAAAACTACCTTTAACCAAGGTTGGCCCAGACAAGCCATGACAAGTCAGGTGAACGTCTCATTTTCGCAAGCAGTTCATAACCCCAGTCATAGGCATGGCAAGCAGCAGCCACTCACTCACCTTTCCTCGGGCCCCCAGCTGACATAGCGAAGCTGCAGGCGAAACTTGCTCCCTAAGTAGAACAAGTGGCTGAACGAACTCAGGACGAAAACAAGTGATGCAAAAATTCGAGCCTGCTCACCATCAAATAATTGAAAGTAAGGAATGCATGGGCAGATGTCCATAGTTTTGCCAGACGGATTGGGCGTCTTATCATCTATACTAAGAGTCTTCAGCAACCCCGCAAAAAGGCTAGAAAACCAAGATCCGAGTGGCAAATCACTAACCTCCTCAAAAAAAGATAGAATAAACATGTTTTTGCCGTTTAGTCAGATGTTCCTACAATTTTTCTATGGTTTTCCCCTACCTTTTATGGGCTGGTGAAATATCTACGGCGTCCCTCATCATCCCCAGGGCCCCCCCACGACTCGCGCTGCTGTTGCCCATGGGGACCTCGCTCTCTGCCTGCGTCCCAGATATAGAAGTGGCTTCTAACCCGATAAGCCGATAATCCAAATGTGGATGTTCCACATTTCTGAGTTATGGTTATTACCCACTTACCAACCGGATTGCACCCCCAAGTAGAGACGTCCAAACATAAGTTTGGAACAATTCTATAAACAATGAAAAATGATGAGAAATGATCGGATTGACTGAAAATCAGGTACCCCAAAGTTCACAACTTCCCCATCAAAATGAACATTTTGTGGGTATACCCCTTTGCAGTCAAACATCAGATCCTAGTCACCATGTTGAACTGGGCATAGCATTGGATCCTGGATATCCTAGGCCTCCACGCAAAACATCCCTTGCTTTGGAAGTCACCTCTCAACAAGTCTGCATACAGTACCTCCACAATCAGAAGGCCTAAATCTCTACAATAACTAAGGTTCATTTTTCCACATTTGTTTGATAGTTTTCTACCCCACCCCTGCAGTTAAGGGGATGAGACAGGGTGTGGTCCGTAAAAACACTCGATGAATCCGATGACATCCCGTGCCACTTCCCTGCCTGGCGCCAACAGAGCTCCAGGGCGCGCGAACGCAGCGCCAGACCCAGGTTCACCTGTCCAACAGCTTGGCCATTCCCAAGTTCCATGGGCATTTCAGATATCATCATTGACATCATCTAGACAAACTATGAATCAATGGGCATTTCAGTCAAATATCATTGATAGATCATCTAATTATATCATCTATAAATGTTGGAGAATCCCATTTCAGTCAGAGATCATCATTCACATCATCTATAAATGATCCCAAAACCTGAAGAATCTGTCACTATCGGTATCATCTATTTCAGTCAGATATCATCATTTACATCATCTAGAACTGCAGAATCCCATTTCAGTCAGATATCATCATTCAAATCATCTATAGATAGACCTATCCCAAAACCTGGAGAATCAATTTTTAACCATCTGTTAATACCAAAGTTGTTTATCATCTATAAATACATCTCTTAACACATCATCTATAAAATTTATCCCAAACCTGGAGAATCTCTAACTATTGGTATCATCATTCACATCATCTATATATAGATCTATCCCAAAACCTGGAGAACCTGTAACTATTGGTATCATCTATTTCAGTCAGATATCATCATTTACATCATCTAGAACTGCAGAATCCCATTTCAGTCAGATATCATCATTCAAATCATCTATAGATAGACCTATCCCAAAACCTGGAGAATCAATTTTTAACCATCTGTTAATACCAAAGTTGTTTATCATCTATAAATACATCTCTTAACACATCATCTATAAAATTTATCCCAAACCTGGAGAATCTCTAACTATTGGTATCATCATTCACATCATCTATATATAGATCTATCCCAAAACCTGGAGAACCTGTAACTATTGGTACTTATCATCTATTTCAGTCAGATATCATCTATAAACCTGGAAAACATATATTTTTTTTTACCAAGAATATCAAAGCCGTTCCACTGGCGCCTTGGCGTTGCGCTTGGGATCCCGCGGCAGCTTCGGGGTGCGCAGTTGGGCCGGGATCACCGCCTTGGGGTTTTTACCGTGAAAAGATGGGAATTCGTTGCGGAAATTTTGGGGGTGAAATATTAGGAAAATGGGGGTTAACTATAACTCAATTGAAAAAAATATGTGAAAATACGGGAAAATATGGAAAATATGGAGGTTAACTATAACTCAATTAGAAAAAATGGAAAAAAAATGTGGTAATATAACTACAACTCAATTGAAATTCACTGGGAAAAACGGGAGGTCAACTATTGAAAAATCTGGAGGTTAACTATAACTATAACTCAATTCGAAAAAAATGGAAAAAATGTGGGAATATAACTCAATTGAAATTCACTGGGAAAAATTGGAGAGTTATAACTATACCTCACTTGAAAAAACAATGGTGAAAAAATATGATGGTGATATAAATCTACCGATATGGTAGTACATATCATCCGCCAAGGAGGGTGAACGAAACCTCGAAAGCTCCAACTTGCTGCATATGCCAAGTTACATGGGTTGAAAAATGTGGTCTACCGTTGTATACCCTCAACTTACCATTTTCTTGATAAATCTATATATATACATATATACATATGTACATATATATATATATGTATACATATGTGTATATATATGTATATATATATGTATATATATATATGTATAGATATATATATATATATGTATATATGTATATATATGTATATATATGTATATATATGTATATATATATATGTTCCATGTTCTTGATAACAAATATATGTTGTGGTTCCAAACCAGCAGGAATTTGGTTTGTTTTATCATGTTATCCATCATTTTGAGACAATCCGATATAGTTCCCGTAGCCCTGACATGCTAGTGGCCTTCGAATACCAACCTCAGGAGATGACTGGATCCCTACTTAGGATTTTTAGTAACTGGCGGAAACTGGCTAAAACAATGGATGATCACCCAATTACTAACTACTATAGTTAATTAATCCCACGGCCCATCACAAGTCAGTCCAGTTACTAGCTATAGTTAACCAATCCCATGACCCATCTAAGCAACCACTAGTCTAGTCCCATCTTTTTGGATGATTTCCAACATTTTCCTCCCTTTTTCCATCAAAAACCAGTGAATTTGCCATCAAAACCCGGCTCCTGAACTTCGACCCTTCGACCCTTCGACCCTTCGACCCTTCGACCCTTCGGCCCGGGGCTCCGCGCCACCACCAGGTTTTTGCCCTTCTGATCCTTCACCGGGATCTCCACCGTCCAGCGATCCATCCACTCCACGTAGCTCAAGACCTCGCACTCCAGGCCCTTCAGCTTCAACGTGCCGTACCTGAAATGGCCAGAGGCACCCAGGCCATGGCAGGCCATGGGCCATGGTGGATGGCGTAAGGATGACATGAGGTTGGTGAAATCCATGGATTTGTTGTCTGAATTTCTAGTCAAAATGAATAGTTGTTGGTTTAATTTTAGAGATGCTGGATGGTTGAATGGGTTTAACAATGATGATGTGATATTGCGTAGAATCCATTGATTTCTAGGGAAATTGGATGCTTGTTGATTGGTGCAATCAAGATGATCTGATGTATATTTAAAAAAAAAAAAAACTGGATGTTATTATTATTATCATTACTTTGCATCGATATCAGTATCATTGTTATAGTAATTATCATTGTCATTAACCCTATCATTATTGCTATCATCATCATCATTATTATTTTCATTACAAAATATGTTCATGTTATTACTATCATTATCATGAATATTATCATTATTACTATTACGCTTATTATTATCATGTGTATGTGTATATATATATCACGTTTGACATCCCCATGTCTGATGTGCCCAAGTCAATCTTCACCACCCTTCTTTACCAAGGTACTCGCCGCCCAGCAGCACTCGCCGCTGGCCCACCTGGATATCCTCCGGGTCGTCGCCTTTGAACGAAGACTCCAGGCCCATCGAAAGAGTTTCCATGGGCTTTTTCTGGGTGCCATCTGGTGGATTTTCCAGAGATTTTCTACATATATAACATAGCCATGGAGTGAAAATGATGGGTAATGGAACCATTATTTATGTTATGGTATGGGTATGGGTAATGACTAATCGTATCTGGCAACTACGTATATAACATATGGAAAATGACATAGCCAGGTCCTGGATGTTTGTTGGATGTTGAAGTACTCAAGACTCACCACGGAAAGCAACGTTTGCCGATGTTGAAGTACCACTCAGGAATTCTTGGAAGGTACCATGAAAATCATGTAAACAGGAAAGTAAAGTTTTATAGAAGTGAAGAGATCATAGAAATTATTGTGAATTGCTCATGATTAAACAGATACAGAAAAGTTGGAACCTGGAAATTGGAAAAATATCATCGAAGTACCATTATGCAAACACGCTTTGGCATCTTGTTGGGTGTTGTTATATGGATTTGTAGATGTATGGAAATCATTGAATTTGTTGGAACCCCCAAGAAATCGTAGAAACAAAATCAGGGATATGTCATGGGAGATATATATATATATAGCTATCTTGATCCACTTATATCATGCACTTGATATGACAGTTTGGCGTTTCTGAAAATGGGGTGTGGCGTCGAAATTCGGGTACCCCGAAGGCTTCTCATCTACCCGGCCTGGTAAACTAACAGTTTGCTATTGAAAACGGCCCAGTCGAAATAGTTGATTTACCCATAAAAAACATGGTGATTTTCCATTATAGATAGTGGATTTACCCATTAAAAATGGTGGTTTTCCATAGTTCTGTAAACGTTTACCAGGCCGGGTATTGCCCATACAGTATCATCTTCCAGGCGATAAGCAGACATCAGCGCGCCTCCCTCGCCCACGTCTCGCAAGAGATCCCAACTGGCAGGAGGATTTTGTGGCGATTTTGGAGTTGTCTCAAGATTTGGAACCCCAAACCCCTCCATGGTTTACCTTCTGGTGATTCAACATAGCTATGAAACATCGTTTTTTTAACAGAAAAATCATGGAACTGAATGCAATTATCAGAGATGATCTTCCAATTCATAGATGATGTTTTCCTCAATGCCAAAAATCGGATGATGTTCCCCATCTAAAATGGCCAAATTAAAATTCCCGCTCGCCTGGAGCCTGCACAGGCGGAGGCTTTCTGCATGAGTTGCAGGTCGCAGACCTTTTTGGTCGTAGCGTCCGAAAGATCCGAAAGCCCATGGGATTTGGGCGAAATCCGGGAAGCAGATGCATTTGACCAAGCATACCGCAGCATACCCTCTGGTTATGTCAACATAACTATGGAAAATCACCATAGAAATCGTGAATTTTCCATAATTTTCCCATGAAAAATGGTGATGTTCCATAGTTATGTTAGTTTACCAAGCATAGTGATAATCACCCAGAGGTCAAAATGAGTCATTGGGATTTTCTAAACGATGGGGGGGTCTACAAAAAGATCGATGTCTGGAGACTCTCCACCCGAAAAAGGCGATTAGAACCCTGGGGTTGACTGCCTGACTACCATTTCGGGGTAGCAACTGGCCAGCAAGAAATGGAACTTTGAGCTGGTTCGCAAATGTTCGATTAAAGTTGGCAAACATTGTATTTGACGTATTAAACTAAAGTATTAAATTAAAGTATTCAAGTTATTAATGTAGATTAAACATCATTCATGGCAAAAGATGAAAGTATTTGTTGGCTGGTATCAAATCCATGGATAGATGATGGTGATTTCACACCCAGATCATAGTGAGTTCATCCCAATACTTAAGTGGAACTGCACCTTCCAAACATTGTCACGTCTAAATGGCCTAAGACTTTACGGGTTACTAATCCCATTAACCATTGTACAATCGCTTATAAATACCCTTCACCACCATTAACAATTAAATTTGTTACTAAGCCCATTAACCATTCCATGGGAACTATAATCATGAATAAATCATGGTTTTTCATGACCATGATATAAATTCATTATTTATATATATATATCACTATTGGTTAACTCTTGAATTAACCAATCTAACCACTAAATCATGAGTTGAATCAGCCATTTCACCCCCATTCAAGTCGTCCCTGGGCGCCCAGGCCCGCGACAGTGGAACTTGCCCGGGCCCTGATGCTTCACCCGCCTGATTCAGGCAGTTTTTGTTGGCAGATCTATGGATCCAACGAGGAAAAAATATGAAAAAATATAGTTATATGTAACTATAGCAACTCTATGAACTATATTGAACTATTGGATCCAATCATAGCACCTTTTTTTTTGCATTTCTGTCAAAACAAAAACTGGAAAATAGAGTTCTGCTGGATATGTTATGGTTTGTACCAGGTCTGGTTTTTTATTTCTTTTACACTGCTTGATAAAATAACTGTTAGCAACTTAGGATATTCCGGGATATTGACCAAGTTGTTGTTGCTCCACTTCTTCACTCAATCGGTGTTCCAACATCCATCGTCGGCACGTCGTTTCTTCTTCGCAGTCACTGTACTGGAGCTCATTCAATGAGTATTTACAAGCTCCAAGCGTGCTCTCCACAGTTGGGTGGAAATCAGTCAGAGCCCAAAGATGAAGCTTTCAGAAAATTGCTGGAACGTACTTCGGTGCGCTGCTCTTGGGACATCATCAAATTAATTCAAACAAGGCCTTGAGGCTCCAAGCTGAAATTCTCTTCCCCAATTCCGGAACTCGGCCTTCCCTTTGGGAATATGCGATTTCGCTTCGTTTTTCGTTTGTCAATGTACAGCGGCCACCAAGAACGGTGGCGCGTTCAACGGTGTCATTGCTCTTTTGGTGATCCTGTCCCTGGTGATCACATGTAATGTCAACCCTGGATTAATAAACCTTAAGGCTGTTTAATTGGGGGGTACCATTTAAGTATCAGATTATGACTATTAGGGAAGTACCCCCCTAATTAATCAACCATTATTATCATTGCTGTGTTTTCGTTCACCAATATCTAGCCACGATAGGTGAACCCCAGCAGTTGGTTGATCAAAACGATCACCTTTGCAGGGCTGCCCCTTCACAGCGAACAGTGCAGAATCTCCTCCAGGGTTTTTGCCCGCTTGAAACGGCACTTCCAAGGGCACTCTCTATATAATCAATGGAAAATTTCAGGATCCTAAATTGGAGGTACCTACCATATATAAGGCCTATGTTTCAGGCCTATGTAAGGGAATATCCCCGCAAAATATGGCCTTATATGGTACAGTACCTCCATTTTAGGATCCTGAAATTCCCATTGATATAAGGTAATGTGGGTAAAACAATAAACCATCCCCAAATTCACCATAAATAGGTGGTATGTTTACCATTCCCAAATGGCTGGTTTATGACATTGTTTTAACCACATTAATATCTTATGATAAGCGTACATTGCTAGAACGAACGAAATGATCATTATTCGTACTACAGACAGGTGGAATTCTATACACCCAAACACACTGTAAATTATATACAGCTCACTAAACGAGGGTACCATACATATAAACGTGTATTTATATATGTATATACTGCAAACCTTGTACTTATTGCTGTCACTATTGTTACCATGTTTCTTACCAATAATTCTCCATCATCATTAATCATCGCTATTTCTCATTGTAATAACCCCCAAAAAAAAGCCGTCTAATTTTCATATTTTTTCGCCATTTTAGATTCAGTTTTTCTTTGGGTACAGTTTCATCCAGAACCCAAGTCCTCCTTCTCCCCCTCCAACTCCACGAGTAATTCATTCGACTTTCCAAAGCTCCGCGAGAACGTCGGCCGCGTGATGGTCCGCAGCGGATTCAGCACACTGGCCTTGCTGACGTCCAGGTTCTTGCGCACCGTGGCAGCAAAGGCCTGGAAAAAATTCATGATCCCCATGGAGAGGCCGTGGATATATACCGGCAGTATATTATGTAGATATACAGATTATATAGAAATATGTACATTACCAATATATATGTATATATACATGTTAATAGTAGTAATAATAATAACAATAATTAATGTGATTATAGTTCTGTGTGTCTACATAATTCTATCTTGATTTTGAGCTATTTGAAGGTGTCCCAACACATCAAAAAAATGCACAACAGTTCTACAATACATCGATTTATAAGTGATTTCAAGGTATCCCATGAAAATCAGCTAAATACCACCAGCATTTAAAAAAATGACGTTTGAAGCCCGGGATTCCTGCGATCTCTCGATCAAGTTGGACATGCTTTCCTCCGATAAACAGAGATCCGTGACCCAGCTTTCCGCCTCATCCTTGGAGCTGGACATGTGACCATTTTGATGTGGGTAAAACAATGCCATAATGTCAACCCTGGATTAATAAACCCCAAATCAATGGGAATTTCAGGATCCTAAAATGGAGGTACTGTACCATATAAGGCCATATTTTGTGGGGATATTCCCTTACATAGGCCTTACACAGGCCTTATATATGGTAGGTACCTCCAATCTAGGATCCTGAAATGGCCATTGACCAAAGGGCTGTTGAATTGGGAGAGTACCATTTAAGTATGAGATAATGACTATTGGAGGAGTACCCCTCTAATTAATAAACCATAGTTTATTAATCCGGGCTTGACATTAAACCACCCATGACTGGGAATGGTAACCATATACCACCTATATATATTTATGCTGATGGGGCATGGTATAATCGAAATACAACAACAACATTGGGAATCGATGGGTCTTATGCGGTGGCTAGATACTAGTTGTTTGTTGTTGTTTATGGCAAATGGGTAATATATCTATTGATGGATCTAAGTACTATAGTTATTAGTTCTATATCACAATAACCATAGTACTAATAACAACAGCTCATGTTGTTTATGGGAATATCATGTTGTTTATGAACATCTATATATATATATATCACAACAGCTCATGATGTTTATGGCATTGTTTTACCCACAGACCCATCGATTCCCCATGAGATTCATGAGATCATATGCCATGATAATCCGTGAAAATTCCACCACAGGGCTGATTTTCCCCGGTCTCAGCCAGGTCTCGGAGCTCTCGATTTGACCCACCAGCAGAATCCCGAAGATCTGCAGAAACTGCCACAGAGGACCACCGTGTTTCGTGGCCGCACCACAGAACTGCTCGGCCTGGCGACACTGGCACCGTTTCAAAAACGGCACAAAAACGTGGCAAAAATCGTCCTTGGGAGAAAATCTTCGAATAATTAGCAAAAAATATATCAAAATGGCTTTTATGAAAGGAGATTCAAAACTGAAACCAAAGGGCTAAAGGGACTCAAACTTTTGTTTTGAACTGCACTGCATTTCAGTTGTACTCTTTCACATTTTGCAGGTTTTATGCAAATTGGTATTGATGAAGCTGAAAAAAAAATCTGAAAAAGGTCAGATGGTTTTTTTGCTCCATTTTTCACACTACCCTCTGGCAATCTAACATAGCTATTGAAAATGGCCCAGTCGAAATAGTTGATTTACCTTTTGACAAATGGTGGATCTTTCCATAACTATGTAACAAATCACCAGAGGGTACCTCTTTCACCTTCCAACTTCCAGTCACCTGGATGCCCACGTAGTAACAGGTGGCATCCTCCGAGGCCAGCCGTCCCCGGTGGTGCCAATCGGCCCAGAAGCACGGCAGGCACAGCACGCAGCTCTCCATGACGCTCTCCCGCACGGTCTCGTAGACCTTGGAGGATGCTCGGGGCTTGGCCGAGTACTGCATGACACCTGGGCCGGATCCTGGGGACCCCGTTTTTCGTACCGGGGGTCCGTTTAAGAAACCAGGGATCTCTCAAAAGGTGGAGATTTTACCATATGGTTATGACTAACATAGCCATGGAAAATCACCATTTTCAATAGGTAAACCATCTATAAATGGGCCATTTCCCACGGCTATGTTAAATAACCAGAGGGTACATGATTTTCTTGTGGATATCTACCAGTTGGGATGGAGAGCCGATAAATGATGTGCGAGTCAAATGGAACATGGGATTTATCACGGCTGTAGAACCAACAAAAAAACTTGGGAATTCGGCAAGAATATGATAAGTTGAGTAATTCGACCCTGCGCCAAACTGTGAAACTCACCAAGGTGAAAAAACGACACTTTATTTTTTTTGTTGTATACGTATTCTCTTGAAGGTAGAACCAAGTATGGAATATAGTATGTACATAACCAGAATTGACCATCAAATGATTGGCAATCTGATCATAAACTGCACCTGATCCCAGCCATCCCAATGTGGTCTTCCCCAGTTTTATAGGTCATAAAAATGATTTCTAATATTTCTACATTAAATCACCAGAGGCCGGCATATCCATCTTCATATTGTTGATGAGTCATATATCCCATAGGAAAAATCCACAGCTACATGAACAAATCCCCATGAAATCTCCATTGCGTCATCCACATCCATTTCGCACCTGATTGGATGACATAGACCTGCTGACAATCCGTGCCCGGCATAAAGGCATCCTGCGCCGGTGTCGCCACGTGCTCGGTGATGCAGGTGTGACAGACGTCACGGAAGAAACTCTGATCCTCGAAGTGACTCCACATCGGCCAGAAGTTCAAGGCGTTCCTAGAGATGCTTCGGTCACTGCTACAGAAAATCTGTGGATTTAAGCAACAAAAAGAAGGATTTGACCAAGACAGAAAACCGATGGTATACTGGGAATATATGGGATATCATGGGGATTTTCTTCATAAACTATGCCATATTGCCATATTTGAAGGGGCGATTGGTACGTTAGTACGTGCTTTAAGGCAGTCCTTAGAGGATCCAAGCAGATGAAAACCCGTCTATACATTTCCATTTGCCATGAATGTCTTGGTCACTGGAGTGACTCTCATCTGAAGACAGAAAAAAACTGAAAATTTGGAAACAACAAAACGCTGTGAATCGGCTCACTTCACCCTTTCCCTCCGTTTTGGGGTTCCACATGGATTTCAACACCATGACAGTGACGGTTCCTGACCCTTCGAAAACGTCTCTGATGAGATCCGAATTTCAATGTCCACATTTCTTTCAGGTCAGCTTCCATCCCCTCAACAAATGGTCATCTTTAAGTTATCCCATCTTTCTTTCAGTCTTCGACCCCTAGGAAAAAGCGTGCGTCAATCTATCTTTGATTGTATCATAGGTTTCCCCCACCAAAAATCACCGCTTTGAAGCATTTTTTCCATCCCCTTAGGCCCTTGCCCAAAAAACGATACAACAACCAACAAACCCCTTCACATCCAACCCCAACACCAGACCAAAACACTTAGAACCAAACGCCCCCAACCCACCAACCATCCCGAGGTTCAGCGCGGGTTGATACATCTCCTCGTGCATCAGCACCAGCAGCCGTTCAGGCACCCCGCCGAAGAGCGAGACGTCCTTCTCGTTCAGCCGCACGTCGAAGAGGCCCTGCTTGCGGACGATGTCTTGCACCCGGCCGTAGAGATCCGTAGAGAGATTCCTGGAGGCCAGCCGAACCAACAGCTGGGGACCCCTGGGGATGGGGGAAAATGGCACTTTCACCAAAAATTGTGGCCTTCTCCTGGATGGTTTGTAGAACCAAAAAATCATGGTGATCAGAAAAACATGCCGAAATCATATGTGCAAAGTTGTGCAAAATCTTTTTTTGGGGGGGCAGTTGCTCATATGAGCGTTCAGGAGTTTCACTGGCGAATCATCTGGTAAACCCCCGTTTAAACTCCGGACTCCGATTGATTTCGGAACCAACGGTCCCAACAACAGATTTCATCATTTCATCCATCCCTTCTCCTCTCATTGAAAAAGCGTAGCAGCTGCGCTTGCTTCTTCGCTTGCTCTTGGCGATAGGTTCGCAGTGAACTCACTGTGCTGGTGATGGAACTGATGAAGGAACTGAAGACACCTGAGTCGTTCGAAAGAGTCTTCCAGGTTTTTCCAGGGCGAACGTGGGAAGTCCAAAATGGTGGATGGAATGATGATATCCAACATCTGAATAATCCCATGCAAAATGATGATACCCTCTGGTAAACATACAAATAGCTATTGAAAATGACCATTTAGTTCTTGGATTTACCCATTGAAAATGGTGGATCTTTCCATAGTTTTTTGTATGTTTACCAGGCCGGGTAAAATGATGAAATTCAACATTCCAACATGTGATCTGCGGATGGTCCATGTGCCAAAACCAAAACCATGCCCGAGAAGATCCACCAGGCTCCATCGTCTATGACTCTATGGGTTTTGATCCCATGGTTTTGATCATCATTTTCATGTCAGAATTTGTTGTTGTTATACCATTATCATATCATTGTATATATACCAAGTTGATCATCATTTTGGGGTAAAAAAAAAGCCCCATTTCTGGATAAAGCCGCTATGCCGCTTTCAGCTACTAGTAGCATTGGTGAAAAATCCCCAGTTTCGATGGTGAAATCCAAAAAAAAAACGGCTGGTGGCCATTGACACATCCATCAGCTCAGCCCAGTGGCCCATGGCCAACAGAATGACCCACACCGCGAAGAACCTCAGACAGTTAAAGGCTGCGCTGAACACCCAGCATCTGTTTTCATGCCACCAACTCTCACGTGGTTGGCATTGTTAATGGTATGATAATAATAATAATAATTAATAACAATAATAATACAGTAATAATAATGATGATAATAATGATAATAATGACTCTGAAACCTCTGGGTGTTGATATAGGTATAACTCTCATCTGCTTGGGAAACTCAATTCGTAGCTCCCCTCTTCTTTGATCCGGATCCGAAACGGACACGAAAAGCCTCGCATTTTTTTGTTCATGGGATACCCGGCCTGGTAAACGTTCAAAAAACTATGGAAAACCACCATTTTTAATGGGAAAATCAACTATTTCAATGGCCATGTTCAATGGCTATGTAACAAAAGACCAGAGTGTAATAATGGGAAGTATGAAAAAAACACCAAAAATAGGAAACGGTGGCCATAGCACACTCTTACAATTTTCACCCCCCTCCTCATCTCTTCGTAGAAAGCACTTGGAAAGCAATACTAGAAAAATATCCACGACCATCTGTTGCACTTCAATTTGTCTACCCCTATGATCCCTGTTTCACCAAAACACTAAGAACATCTAAGAACGATATCCCATCATTCCAAACAAACCATCCCAAGCATCCCCTGGCCAATCTTACCTTGCAAACAACTAATTTGTTCAGCTTTTAGGTTGATATGTACATATCTATCCCCATTTGAATCCCAAAAGATTCGTTAGTACTCAAGTATCCACCAACATCCCTATCCCCATTTCCCTATGATTTCCCTATGATTTCCATGAATCTTCTCCAACCACCATCCATCCCCCAGACCTCTCCACCGCGTTGTCCGGCGCGATGTTATTGGTCGCCGGGGTGAACTGCGTAAGCGCCCAGTGGATCGACGCGGCATAGGCCTCCGGGAAGGACCCACTGGCGCCGTCCGCGTCGAGCAGTTCGGAGCGCAAGAGCCAGCTGCGGCCGTCGAAGGACAGGGAACCGATGCCGTACCAACAGCAGGCGATGATGTGGTTGATGGCCAAAATCATCATCAAACCTGTGTGGAAAATCTAGAAAAATCTGTGGCAAACGTATTCATCAAACCTGGAACATGTCGAAAAGGGTCTATAATAGACCTGGAAATGTCGATGATGGTCAGTTTTTAGACCCCAAAATCATGATCAAACTTGTGGAAAACATGATGGAAAATGAGGGAAATGAAAGTAATGGGAAAGTTAAAGATCATCATGAAACCCACACAAATTCATGTGTTCAAAATCATCAAACATGTTTTTTATCATGTTTCTCTGGGTAGAATCCGGTCAGTTTTTACATCATCATCAAGCCTGGAAAATGTCTATTGAACTTGATGGAAAGACCTGGAAATGTTGTTCCAAAGCTGAAAAGTTGCGGAAAGTGAAGAATCATCGTCAAACTTGCTAGGAATGCTTGGGGATGATACAAGCTATATCGGAATCTTCAAAAAAAAAGTGGTTTAGTTCATGTTGATGAATGATTCAGTTTTCACTAAATGTCCCTCATTTTTATCAGCTGAGATACAGGATGGGGCCCCCCAGTTATAAGTTGGTATATAAACCATTATAATCCCCATTAACTATAGTTATATCTACCATAAACCATTGTTAAGCCACTTATCCGCCGACCCCGGCTGCGCAAGGGGGAGCGCGAAAGGGAAAAGGATTTTCTGACACAGAATTGGTAGCAATTTTTTCTGTTCTATATCCGCCGACCCCAACTTCTAGTACTACTACTACTACTACTACTATTACTACTACTACTACTACTACGCCAGTAGCAGCCAGCGGCCAGTAGCCAGCAGCACACCAAAAAATCTAGATTTTTCTAGGATTTCAGACGACACGTTAGGGACTTTTTTGGCGTGGTTCTGGCACTCGCTCGTCCTTCAGAGCCCTGGTGTTTTCCCCCCCGGGAGGTGATTTTTTCGAACCTGTTTTACTGCTAGCAGCCGCCAGCAACAGAATCTATCGAAAAATTGTGTTTTTCTAGGGTGTCAGACGACACGTTAGGCAAGAGCACGCAAAAGGTGCACATAGCCAGTAGCTATAGCAGCCAGCGCCAGTAGCAGCCAGCGGCCAGTAGCCAGCAGCGTACCAAAAATCTAAATCTATAAATTTTTCTAGGATTTCAGACGACACGTTAGGGACTTTTTTGGCGTGGTTCTGGCACTCGCTCGTCCTTCAGAGCCCTGGTGTTTCCCCCCCGGGAGGTGATTTTTTCGAACCTGTTTTACTGCTAGCAGCCGCCAGCAACAGAATTTATCGAAAAATTGTGTTTTTCTAGGGTGTCAGACGACACGTTAGGCAAGAGCACGCAAAAGGTGCACATAGCCAGTAGCTATAGCAGCCAGCGCCAGTAGCAGCCAGCGGCCAGTAGCCAGCAGCGTACCAAAAAATCTAGATTTTTCTAGGATTTCAGACGACACGTTAGGGACTTTTTTGGCGTGGTTCTGGCACTCGCTCGTCCTTCAGAGCCCTGGTGTTTTCCCCCCCGGGAGGTGATTTTTTCGAACCTGTTTTACTGCTAGCAGCCGCCAGCAACAGAATCTATCGAAAAATTGTGTTTTTCTAGGGTGTCAGACGGCCAGTAGCCAGCAGCGTACCAAAAAATCTAGATAGATTTTTCTAGGATTTCAGACGACACGTTAGGGATTTTTTTGGCGTGGTTCTGGCACTCGCTCGTCCTTCAACAACAACAACAACAAGAACAAGAACAATAATAATATAATAATATAATAACAACAACAACAATAACGACAACAACAACAACGACGACAACAACAACAACGACAACAACAAGAAGAACAATAACAAGAACAACAACCACAACCACAACAACAACAACAACAATAACAACAACGACAACAACAATAACAACAACAACAACAACAACAACAACAACAACAAGAAGAAGAAGAACAAGAACAACAACAACCACAAAGACAAACATAAACCCAAACAACAACAAACAACAATAACAAACAACACCAAACAACAACAAACAACAAGAAACAACAACGAACAACAATAACCATGACCCTTTGCCGGGGGACTCTCTTGGGTCCCCCTCCCACCGGTCACGTACCTCGATTCCTTGACTCCGAGGTTTTTGTTTCACCGGTGGGGGGTCCTTCCCGGAGTCTCCTCGAAGTACGTGGGGCTCCTTGGGTTGCCCTTCCCGCCCGCTTTTTTTTTGGGTTCATGTGTTACGTTTTGGGCACGAAATTAGGTGGTGTTTTGCTGTTTCGGAACCGTTTCGAAACAGCAGGCCCAGCTATAATATTGTTTAGGAGATTCTGGGGGATTCGGCCGAAACAGCTGGCCCAGCTAGGATTCCCGAACTAGGATCTAGATCTAGATCTAGGATTTTCTATAGGATATAGGATTCTCTAGGATTTCAGACGGGACGTTAGGCAGCATGAAAAATTGTGTTTTTCTAGGATGGCACCAATGGGTGTCAAGAACGTGGGCAAGAGCACGCAAAAGGTGCACATAGCCAGTAGCTAGCAGCCAGCGCCAGTAGCAGCCAGCGGCCAGTAGCCAGCAGCGTACCAAAAAATCTAGATTTTTCTAGGATTTCAGACGACACGTTGGGGACTTTTTTGGCGTGGTTCTGGCAGCTCGTCCTTCAGAGCCCTGGTGTTTTCCCCCCCGGGAGGTGATTTTTTCGAACCTGTTTTACTGCTAGCAGCCGCCAGCAACAGAATCTATCGAAAAATTGAGTTTTTCTAGGGTGCCAGACGACACCAGTAGCAGCCAGCGGCCAGTAGCCAGCAGCGTACCAAAAAATCTAGATTTTTCTAGGATTTCAGACGACACGTTAGGGGCTTTTTTGGCGTGGTTCTGGCACTCGCTCGTCCTTCAGAGCCCTGGTGTTTTCCCCCCGGGAGGTGATTTTTTCGAACCTGTTTTTTACTGCTGGCAGCCGCCAGCAACAGAATCTATCGAAAAATTGTGTTTTTCTAGGGTGTCAGACGACACGTTAGGCAAAAGAGCTAGCAGCCAGCGCCAGTAGCAGCCAGCGGCCAGTAGCCAGCAGCGTACCAAAAAATCTAGATTTTTCTAGGATTTCAGACGACACGTTAGGGACTTTTTTGGCGTGGTTCTGGCACTCGCTCGTCCTTCAGAGCCCTGGTGTTTTCCCCCCCGGGGGGTGATTTTTTCGAACCTGTTTTACTGCTAGCAGCCGCCAGCAACAGAATCTATCGAAAAAGTGTGTTTTTCTAGGGTGTCAGACGACACGTTAGGCAAGAGCACGCAAAAGGTGCACATAGCCAGTAGCTAGCAGCCAGCGCCAGTAGCAGCCAGCGGCCAGTAGCCAGCAGCGTACCAAAAAATCTAGATTTTTCTAGGATTTCAGACGACGCGTTAGGGACTTTTTTGGCGTGGTTCTGGCACTCGCTCGTCCTTCAGAGCCCTGGTGTTTTCCCCCCCGGGAGGTGATTTTTTCGAACCTGTTTTACTGCTAGCAGCCGCCAGCAACAGAATCTATCGAAAAATTGTGTTTTTCTAGGGTGTCAGACGACACAGAATCTATCGAAAAATTGTGTTTTTCTAGGGTGTCAGACGACACGTTAGGCAAGAGCACGCAAAAGGTGCACATAGCCAGTAGCTAGCCGCCAGCGCCAGTAGCAGCCAGCGGCCAGTAGCCAGCAGCGTACCAAAAAATCTAGATTTTTCTAGGATTTCAGACAACGCGTTAGGGATTTTTTTGGCGTGGTTCTGGCACTCGCTCGTCCTTCAGAGCCCTGGTGTTTTCCCCCCCGGGAGGTAAATTTTTTCGAACCTGTTTTACTGCTAGCAGCCGCCAGCAACAGAATCTATCGAAAAATTGTGTTTTTCTAGGGTGTCAGACGACACGTTAGGCAAGAGCACGCAAAAGGTGCACATAGTCAGTAGCTAGCAGCCAGCACCAGTAGCAGCCAGCGGCCAGTAGCCAGCAGCGTACCAAAAAATCTAGATTTGTCTAGGATTTCAGACGACACGTTAGGGACTTTTTTGGCGTGGTTCTGGCACTCGCTCGTCCTTCAGAGCCCTGGTGTTTTCCCCCTGGGAGGTGCTTTTTTCGAACCTGTTTTACTGCGAGCAGCCGCCAGCAACAGAATCTATATCGAAAAATTGTGTTTTTCTAGGGTGTCAGACGACACGTTAGGCAAGAGCACGCAAAAGGTGCACATAGCCAGTAGCTATAGCAGCCAGCGCCAGTAGCAGCCAGCGGCCAGTAGCCAGCAGCGCACCAAAAAATCTAGATTTTTCTAGGATTTCAGACGACACGTTAGGGACTTTTTTGGCGTGGTTCTGGCACACGCTCGTTCTTCAGAGCCCTGGTGTTTTACCCCCCCCGGGAGGTGATTTTTTCGAACCTGTTTTACTGCTAGCAGCCGCTAGCAACAGAATTTACCGAAAAATTGTGTTTTTCTAGGGTGTCAGACGACACGTTAGGCAAGAGCACGCAAAAGGTGCACATAGCCAGTAGCTAGCAAAAGGTGCACATAGCCAGTAGCTATAGCAGCCAGCGCCAGTAGCAGCCAGCGGCCAGTAGCCAGCAGCGTACCAAAAAATCTAGATTTTTCTAGGATTTCAGACGACACGTTAGGGACTTTTTTGGCGTGGTTCTGGGACTCGCTCGTCCTTCAGAGCCCTGGTGTTTTCCCCCCCGGGAGGTGATTTTTTCGAACCTGTTTTACTACTAGCAGCCGCTAGCAACAGAATCTATCGAAAAATTGTGTTTTTCTAGGGCGTCAGACGACACGTTAGGCAAGAGCACGCAAAAGGTGCACATAGCCAGTAGCTAACAGCCAGCGCCAGTAGCAGCCAGCGGCCAGTAGCCAGCAGCGTACCAAAAAATCTAAATCTATAAATTTTTCTAGGATTTCAGACGACACGTTAGGGACTTTTTTGGCGTGGTTCTGGCACTCGCTCGTCCTTCAGAGCCCTGGTGTTTTCCCCCCCGGGAGGTGATTTTTTCGAATCTGTTTTACTGCTAGCAGCCGCCAGCAACAGAATTTATCGAA